TCCATATTAATAAACAATATATTTTCTTAATTTCTTATGGGTCATCTGTCAATGCTTTATCATGTTGTAACACTTCCTCAGTAGTCATTGATAGAAAGTTTTCATAAACACGCACACTTCCAATTTATATATAGATTGTTTATACATCTTATAGTTTTTAAGAATCAATCGTCCTAATGTAAATTTATTTTACATCTTTTTAAATGTTCTTGTTTATATATTTTATTGTATTTGTCTATCAAAGCAGCCTGGTTAGCGAATTATTTTCAGTAAATAACAGCGTTATGTTATGAGCGCTACGGTGATTACTCTCGCGACTCCAAAAATATTTCACCTATATTCACACGAAACCGATTGTTTATTTACGGTAATTAAAGCTGACATGCTGGAAGAATGATGATGCCGTAGAAAATCTCGCCTAATTAATGTTTGTCATCATATTTTAGATTTAAGATGGTTAGAAGAAAACAGTTATATTCGAAGTCATAAAAAGTGTTATTTATAGCTGCTGACAATATCTCTAACAACATACTGTCTAGTTTCTTTACACAAATACGCTGTTTCAACCCGGAAGCAAAAAGCAAAAATCCATAAAAATATATTCGTACATATATCCAAGCATGTTTCTCCTCAAAATAAATAATATGATTCTTTAAACTGAAACATTTACATACTAGCATACCGGTATAGTTATATTACATTAGTTCATAGTAAGGTTAAGGTTTACGAAATCATTTAATAAGCCAAGCCACAAAGACCAATTATCACCACTTCTTTACACCAACTTAACATCACTTGTGTTGCGTGCCGCTTTTACCTGCCAAGGCAGATAATTAAGCAAATATGTTTTTTACTTTATTTGGTTGATTATTTGCAGAATAGAATTATCGCAATTACATTACACCAGGTTAAACAAACATGATTGCAAAAAATTGAATTTAACTAATGTAATATTCTTATCTGACCAATTAATATTTCGTCTGAATGCTAATTGCATTTTGTCTAATAGAGTAAAGAAGATTAAAATATTACAGGAACAGTATCTAACAGAATCATCTAAAATAAGTGATAAAGCGGTATTATTGGTATCATACAATTGCTATAAGGCCAGCAACGAAATAATTCCGGTAAATTCAGTGAACTAGTTGTGACAATTACCTAATCCGATCATAGTACAATTAATTAATTGTTTGAATTGATTAATTGATCTTCAGAGACCATACAATAAAAATTTATTCGTGTGATGATTTTAAGTATTTAACCATTCTATTTGTTAAGTAGACACAATTAATTAAAGAAAAGGACCAAAATATTCCATCTAAGTAGATTTTTTGAAAATTGAAAAAATAAAAAATGTCACCTAATGTTCCGATCATAAAGCAGTTTATTTAAATCTTCTTTGTCAATTGTTCCTGTGATAGCTGTTTATGCTCAATCATAACATTTGTGAGGTGAAAACCAATTTCACCGATTATCCCCACAAGACATCGTCAATACTCTGAAATAATTCAGAAAAAGGAATAAATGACTTATTAATTATGCAATATTTTATATAATACTGTATAATATCAGTATAAAAACACTGATTATAGAAGCTTCACAGAAGAATGACATTGATTATGATAACATGATAATACCGAGCTATTTGTGCGGTATATTTTAAAACATATCTAATGATTTAATAGGAAAAGAACTGGAAAGGATCTTTGCTGTTAAGATTAGACCGAAATAACTAATAGATTACTTCATTTTTCATCAACATACCCATGTTTTTGATATTTTTTATGTAAGAAAAAAATGAATTGCGTTTTATTATTCTATATAAGAATGGTTACATATAATATGCATATTATAATTTTTTGAGATATTTCACTGAATTACTACAGGTATTGATTCACCGGTGTGTATATAAATGCCACAAAATAACATAAAGTTATACATCAGTCATTTAGGCGAGTTGAAGAATATATATATACATGTATTTTACTTAAATGACGTTTGCACATTGTTTTCAGCAACCAATCTACTGATCAAATTTCAGTTAATAATTCTTGGATAACTTTTTAGATTAATTCACTTTTGTTTTGTTTTGATAGATTTTTAAATTATTCCGGAGCTTTATCTTATATTAGAAATATTTCCTGCTTTTAAAATATTTTGTTTTTTGGGACAGAATGTATGTGAAACGCAGACTTTGATAACTAAAATTTTTATCTAAGTTTGTTTGGCCCATTGTTTTCTGGTTTAGAGCACATATTTAAATTCACTTGGGGACCACACGCTGCTTTTATAGAATGGCAAAAGTGTCACATTGATTGTTCCATGATCACTCCCTTATGAACACATAGGTTGGTGTTTCTTATTTCCGAATTTAACCATTATCTTGTTATTAAATGTTGGATTATTAACTTAAGCCATACTAGGATGGTGGGGTTTGTAAACGTTAGCTTTACTAGATATCATCCACAACTGATGAGTTCGCCCAACAGAGTTCATTCAAGACCTGTACTTCACACATATTCTCTTCTATCTACTTCATTTATCTTTAATCTCCTCTCTCAATGAAAGCTGTCCGATAATATATTTTCAAATTATTTAAAACAAATGCGCAATAAAACTGAGAGTCGATTTTAATGTTCTTTGTTACACTAAATTGGTTTATTCGAGCCTCATGTTGACCGCCACTATGTTGTTTTTCACATTCAAAACATAGCTGCGGACCACGACACGACGAGTAGTTTTAAACATTCTATTTACAACATATGTCTCGGCGAGGAGTACATTTCATCTTAGTTACAACTACGTGCTATGTACTTTATCAGCTTACGAAAACGGAATGTTGTATGATTTGGGGCTTCCAGCGTGTGTTGAGTAGCTGCTGATCTCGCTCTAATGAGAGCACATGTATGTTGACTTGATTTACTATTATCTCCATGACTACTTATGTGACATGATTAATCAATTAATATAGAATATAATGTGACATTTAGAATGCCTCGACTATTCAATAATTGTCTGTGTTGTGTTGTATCATAGCTATTTGTTACTTAATTGATATGAAAATTTAATATATTAGTTTGGCTAGTTCTGGGAGCTGTTATTTGAAATTATATATAAAATATATATAAAGTTGTTATTTATTTTTGTTATTTTATTCTATTTATTGGATAATTTTATATAATTACATTTACATTTTCTTTCATTTGCAACATATTATCAACATAGATCGTTCAACTTATTTTAAAGCACTTGGACCTGAACAATTCTCAGGAACAGAAGCCTAGTATACTCTTACTGGCATCTATGCTTTTTACTGAAAGCGTTGATTTTATGGAACAATTTCTATTTCTGATTCTATACAAGAACAGAAGTAATTGTAATCGTTATCAAGGACTTTATTATATATGGCAGTGCTTCAGCTCAGATAGATGTTGCATTGGATAATTTCAAACACTTCAGCCCGATTTAAAACAAATGTTGCCCCGTACTTCATCTCCATATTGCTATATTTTTCTGGTCCTTCCAAGTTCTTTGATGATGAGAAATAAATTCAACCTAAGTCGATGCTAGGGAGCGTTGATGGTGTATCACTATTGAATAAACTTTATAAAACCTAATCTGCAAATTTCAACTTTTTTATTGTTTTCATTTCTCTCGAAGGATGTGCCTCTTAAAGAATTGTCTTACAAGTTATAACCTTAATGCAGATATTATATCATACAATAATAGCATCAAGAATTTGTTTAGAATTGAAAAAAAATGGGATCAGTAGATATAATATTTAGATCTGTGCTCATAATTATATCCATGCTTATGAAAGCAACAATTTTAATCTTCCGTCACGCTTTAGCACAGCGCGTTGTATTGCAATCAATTGATATAAATAGTGTCCATATCCCAAAATCACATTTATAAGTCAATTTTCAACAAACTCGACGTTTAATGACAATTGCACCAGAAGGTGTACTAATTTCTCAGTGATAACCTACTGGGTTAACAACAATAGTTGTTCAACATACGTGTTCCTGAATTGAAAGCAAAGAGAAATTTACCATTTACATGCCGACGTATGTATCATCGTTAATGCATCTGTCTCTAATAATAATAACAAAATAGATTATTTTTGTTATTTTGCAACTATATAATCTCCTACATAGTATATTGAAACAATTTATCCTGAAGACAGAAAATCTGGAGCAAAAGAAGTTTTCCTCGAGTGCCAAGTTTGTTTAATAAATATTTAACAACTCTAAATTGTACAGCATAAATCAATATACTCCATTTTGTTTAAAACAACTCATCTGAATACAAATATATAGCCTATGTGAACCAACTGGCCCTGAGTCTATCTTCTGGTGTTATGAGGTCCTTTTATTATTCCAGTGAGATAGTTCCATCGTGTGTATACAAATGGCGTACAGATTTAGGGAAATTGTCGATCTCTTTATCTGTCACAAACGAGAACGGATCAGACTATGTTCAGGTACAAGTTATATAATATGTTAATGTGATATCGAATCCTCTAGCTATATTAAATGGTTGGCCACAAAAGAACTTACATAAAGGTTGGCGCCCATTCTTGTGCTACTTATCAATAAATTCAGAGGCTGCGAATCATAACTCACACTGAATATAAGTGTGTCTGTATCTTTATTACGATAGACACTATACTCCACAACATTAATATATCTCGGTTTATCATGAGAGAACTCCTGGTCAGCATGTCAATTAGCTGCTTTAAAAGTTGGCAATTCACATACATAATCTGCACATTGAAAGATTCCCTGCGATCAAACTCCTAGCAGCGGTGAAGTGGCAAGTCTGGTTTTGTAAGTCAATTCGTCACCGTAAACTCACTCGGGTCATGTTACACCCTTATGGATGTATGTTATCACGAATTGAGTGTATTGTTACGCCTTTTGCATGACATCTTTAGAAGCCTACTTGTGCAACAACTTTTCATGAGCATATTATACCTTAACAGAAATTACACTCCAAGACTATACATTTTTTGATAAAGTCAAGAATGAAGAAAACTTACGAGGGGGAGCAGTGGGGAATGTTGTGTATGGTACCCAAGCGTAGTATTCTGTGTGTGGAGCACTGTATGCAGGGGGTGGAGCCTGGTACACTGGTCCCTGGGGCGGGGAATATGCTGGAGGATGTGCTGGCCTGTTCTTTGATGCTGCAATCAACGAAAAATAATTACATGTATATAGATCAAGTAACTAAAGTAATGAAACAATGTCAACCTTTATACTACTGTACTTTATATGTACAACATAATTATATGTATGTATGTATGTATGTATATAGAAATCCCGTTACTATTACGATGCAATATTATCCCTAACCCTGCTGAATATGAAAAAGTGATTAGCCTCTACCACTAGTATAGAGCTAGGCAAGCCCACCAGGTTCTATCCTGTATATGACTTACTTTAAATTTTCATCTAGACATCCCCAAAACTGATAATGGACAGTTCCAAAAATGGAAACTGGACAATTTTGATTTAAGAATATCAAAAGGTTAAAGGTTGAAGAACAATGACCTTATAAATTTATCTATTTCCACTGTAGCATATTTTTACAGACAAACAGGGAGTGCATAAATTCACATGAGATGGCATCATTCTGTGTCTATGTGAATCAATTATAATTATGTACTTTGAAATATTATATCACCTCTTTGCAGGCTGACAAATGTCCTATAAATAAAACGAGCATCGTAACAAATAAATACAACATTCTTGCTTCTTTCATTATCCTCTTATTTAAATTCTAACATTCGATCGTCTCCTGGTCTCTTGCAAATAATATGGCTTTACCTTCTTACACGAGAAACTAGACAAATGCGTATAATTTATCCGACCTAATTATATAGATCAAATTTCTTTTAGCATGTAAAAAAAAGTGTGATCAGATCTGGTATAAAACAGTGAAGTAAGGTTTTTACATAAGATTTAATAAAAGACTATGTATTTTAAGGGCTGAATAAAAGGAAAGAGTTATGTATAATACAGATGCAAAAACATATTTAATTATTCTTCACTATAGAATAATTCATATGTTAATCCATTATCACAAGTACACATTAGTTTTAACATATAATTATATGGATTTTCTTGCATCATATTTAACACAGTATTTAAATGAATGCACCAATAGTCTCTGTATAAAGCATTTTTTTTATTTGTGAGTTCCATTTTAAATTCTCTTTTTTAATTATAACTATGATAAAGAATGTACTTGTCTTTCTTTCAATCTGAATTAAACTATTCATCATTTTTAGTGAAAATTTCAAAATATGTAGAATGAGTAGGGGACAGTGCAGACCATGATCAGAGAGCATGAATATGCTGGCTGATCCTGGTCTGCACTGGTAGCATGGGTATAATCCACTGCAACCAGTAGTCTAAGGGTTTAATAAATTACATTTTCATGAATTATTCTTAACTCCTACTAGTATACTAGTTTATTACAATCTTCACCTTATTATCAAGATTATAACATATTTAGCAGTCTGCTTACAGATCCTGTATGTTGTGATTAAGGTGGTAAACCACACTAAGTGAAATTATATATGTACATAATTATGCAAATAAAACAATTCTTAAGTTAAACATCGAAGAATATGTAAAATATGTACTGCAAATATTTGTGCATATTATATGTAATCATTAAAATATATGCATTCATTTCTTATTGTACAATTGTATAATTTGGTTTAAACTTTATAGAAAATATATTTTTTATTATCTCCCTTTATTTACATGAAATGTTAAATTCGGATATATCTTTATAAATAATGCTTTTTGGAACCTACAGTATTGCTGAATCTTAATTTGAGCATCATATTTATGATTTAAAACCATTAAAAAAATATGTCACAGGATCTTTAATCTTTGTAAGTTTTATAATTATCATAACTGAACATTGCTTTTTCAAAACAAAATTGAATCCACTGACCTAGTCTTCCTGCACGCAACATGGCTTGACCAAACTCTATGGCACCTCCACTCTTGAACCACATCTTGAATGATCCATTTCCAGTCCAGTTACCTTTGGGAAAAATCAATAGATACCATGTTCACCAGAATGTGCCAAGTACAGGTAATTGTCAACTTTCACTACACTTTACTACATTTCAGTCAATAACTTTTAATATTGATATCCCTTTTTCTCACAATATGCAGGTCAAAATTCAAAGCAAAACATATCTTTTGTGTTACAATAGTAAATGATATATCTTAACATGGTCCTCAATTCACAAATTCTGGTGCCTAAATTTAGCACTATTCCCGTCCTATGATTCATTACAAATCATGTTTGGCTTTCATGCCACTTTTCTGGATAGCATTAAAATAAATAATTGTTTGAAATCTCCTCTGCCTTTTTTACCATTTTCGTCATAACCGCTATCACATATGTTAATTACATAACAACAGCATAGTTTTTACACACATCCTTTTAACAGAACACCTGCTTACATTAAATGTTTTGGGTTTAAAATTAAAATAATTTCTAGACATTTCATTAACTTGTCTAAATAATCAATTTTTCCAAACATGTACCAGTAACGGATCAACACATAAATATTGATTATACATATTTAATATTCTATCAATGACAGGTCTAGTTTAAATGAATTTTGCATGGTTTTTCAACAAACAACTACACTTTATTATAAAGTTAATTTGTAGCCTATAATTTATTTTTTTACTGGTTATCAAATAGGTTAAATGCTATACAGATTCAGGGAGAATATGTTAAACTGATTCTGGGGAAGCAAAGGTCTAAAAAATATGTCCCTTTAAAATGATATACCTCCTGGCTCTGCTATCATTTTCCCTTTGATATAGTTGGCCCCAAAAACTGGCTGTTCCAGCTCTACTTCTCTCATTTGAAGGAATGGTAGACTAAATGACTGTAGTAATTCTTTCTGACTTTTGTTTGTGAACAACACCTGAATGATTAAAATTGAAGACATAAATATATTTAACACATGCATAAAATCCAACTTCAATGTCATATATATTTAGTATGAAATAATAATAATTTAATAAATCTATATTCTTCCTACTTCTGTTTTCCAAACAGCACAGTGGCCCATGTTAGACATCAAATGTCATTGGGTGAGAAAGATGTGCAGTCTAATCAGGACAAACTTACCATAATTAGAATACTGTTCCACATCTAAATAAACTACCCCACTGCTTACACATTTTCTCTCAAATTAGTAAACAGTTTTTTACAGTGTCATAAATTCAGCAGTCCCTCAAATGAAACTGTGAAGTCTATAGATTAAACTTAAGATTTTAATTATGAAAAATACAAACACAAAACAGACAAGCCCATTTCCCTTTACATTATAAAATTAATCATTAAACAAATGCCTGGAATGAGCCAATTTCAGACCTCTTCACAATCATAGCAAAAATCTGCTCTGACAGAGTCAATGTGAGCATATCCAGACAATATACAAAATTATATTTCTTATCTTCTAAAAAAATATTTACCCTATGTGTAGTGAGATAGACTGTTCCTCTTTTATTTCCCTTGAAATGTGGGATAGAGCTTGGCTCAAATCCCATCTCAACTCCATCACAGAACAGCAATATTCTGAAAGTATGAGAAGAAATTTAACTGTCATTTTATGAATATTAATGCCAGATGCACTGAAAAGTGTTGCCAAATTTTTAATATTTTCACTTGGCAGACAAGAAAAATAATATTGAAGTTGCTTTTTTATTCAAGTATAAATATCTACTTTTTTATTGCTGAAATTGATGGGGTTATAATATAATCATATAATACTCATTCTCATTGATATTTCCCTATACCATTTTTTTCTCACACATGAAATGAAATGTTTGTCTATACTTACAGTGGCTAAAAAAAGATATATAAATAAATGTTGATACTGATTCCATAAACCTTACCGATACTGATTTATTAAAATTTTTAAAAGAAGAGTCCACTATTTCATTATTAAAACTAGAAATGCCTCGTAGTAGAACAACTCATTGCCTACATCAGTTTTCAAGACGTGTAATTAAAACATGGAATAATTTGCCAAAAAATGTAGTAGACTCAAAAAGTGTTTATGAATTTAAAATAAAGCTAGACCAACATTGGACCGGAGACGCTCCATATAAAGTTTAAAATGTTATTTATTGAAAAATTACGCTGTTAAAATTATACAGCAGTGTGAACAGAAATAGGTATAAGTGTATATGATTAAACATAGAAGTGGTGAGACCAATAAGAAGAAGTAGTGAAAGATTGTCACAAGAAGAGGGGCTTAAAAAGGGCTTGGCCCTTCCATCAGAGCCCAGAATCATCCTACAGGTATCCTACAGGTATTATACAGAGTTTCATGCAATCTAATCAGAGATGCTTATCATGAAGATAGTGTCAACTTCATCCCATCATGAGACAATATAGTCTACATGATTTTGAAGAGGTGAAAGGGTTGTAGAGTAGGTAAGGGGAGGGGGGTAGTGACCAAAGTCACCAATCAACAAGCCGAACACCTATGATATTTGGTTTATCTTTTACAGATAACATTTTAGTTTGGCAATATAATAGGCATATTATTGGTTTAGCAGAATGAATAATTACTAATCTCATTTGTAAATTGTATATTATTTTATTTTACTTTCATAATCAGAGTTTAAGTATTTGCTGTTATAAATAAGATTTGCTGAACATTATAAATAAGCTGGTAAGCAGTCTTTAAATTTGAGCCTAGTAAAACATTTATTCGTTTTCAAAGACTTAAAAGATTATATGAAAGACATTTAAACATGTTATGACTAATTAGCAGGTGACCAGCTGAAGTTTTACGTCTTTTTTACGAACAGAAAATTTATGTGCTTGCTTAAAATCACGATTTGTTGTTCAGCTATATACAAAATGTACTGCCATCCGTATCTTTATCATATACAAACCTTTCTCCAGCATAAATAAGAACACCACCATTCGCGTGTGCAGTATTAAGTGACATTTTTAGTATTTTTAAGATCTGTCAAAACCAAAATGTAAACAACCGGAAATTTATTAACGGTGCGTAATATCGTTATTACCGTGATAAACACTTTAGTATAGGTCATAGACCACGATACATTTTACACAATGTTTGATAGATGCTATGGATTGTGTCAAAATGCATATGATATCTAACAACTGAACTTTTAACAGATAGATTCTATGTGGCCTATATATGCTATCACGGATTTATATTACATAATATTACATATATTATATTGTAATACATATATTGTAATATAAATCCGTGATGCTATGCTCAAACTACAAGTGACAAACTCATATTAACATGTATAAATATCTTTCATGAGAGAGTTCATTTTTATGTGTATAACCATGCAGGTCCACAGCGAGAATTCTAAATGTAGGCATATGAGTCGTTCGTCAAATACCTATAGATGTATTCTATAGATTTGAGCAGAGATGTAGATGTCTCTGATTCGAGAATGGATTTGTAAATGAATTATGCATTATAGCATTATACAATTAAACGGCATTAATTAGTAGTTTAATGAAGATACTAATGAAAAAAATAAAAATAGCAGTATCGTTCAAGTTCTTGATATTGATGTTCATTTTAGATATAAATCATTTACTTATTGCAGTTTTAACGATTTCAAATAATTATGGAAGCATCTAGCTTAGTCGTTATCTTAAACAAGAACTTGATATGACTTTACGAGACTTACAATGTAGGTCTAAACACTGACTTATCTGTTGGCTAGGCAAATCCAAGATTTGGGAGTATCGGTTGAACTGTATAGCTGCTTATTTTGGTATATCAGACACGCTATACCAGGACAGCATGGGGGATTTTTCTATCTATTTCAAGAAGTTTAGCAGTTAAATTTGACGAAAAATACTTTGAATGATATTTTTACACATACTATTTATATCTAACTGTTGTTTATGATCAATATCTAGTACGTCAAATTCATGGCATAAGTCAGTTAATAAGATTGTACATTTCGTATAGATTTTATTATTAATGTTAATTAATGGCCTATTATACCCAAAATATTTTATGTTTGTTTCACAAAAGCTTTTTTTTTGCGTAATTTTATAATTTCCAGAAATTAAATCTTTGGCAATACCTGAATCATCTTTTTCTTCTGTTGCGTTTTTGGCATTTGTAGGTTAGATCTATATAATGATATAGCATTTTGTCATGACAAATAATTTCACATTAAGCGCTACTTTTCTAAGGGAACAAACATCTAAGTTGCTCTAAACAAAAAAAATCATGCTCCACTCTCTGATTCTTTATGTGTTTTTCTCTATATTGAACAATACTTACATGCAGGCATTAATTTTATTACTTTGTCCAAGACTAAAAGTTTTATATATGTAGCTCTTATTAGGTGATAAATAATTTATTTTCGCTTCAACCTGGGACCAAAAATATACTTTTATATACAATTTTATATACAATTAAATTTAAGTCCGTGCTTCAACAATTTGAAAGCGAATTAGAAAATGAATACGTGTATTTCTTATCAGAAGGAGATAGATTTTCGATCAAAGTACTTTTGTGCTTTAGAATAAAAGAACACTTCTACCATGCATTACATGTGCATACATGATTTTACTGTCAAGAAATGCGATCTTCCCTTTAAACGCCACAAGTACACCAATACAGCAATGCTTTACGGTTAAACAAGACAAGACAACATTGACCTCGGGTATGACATTCGCTCTTGTTCCAATTATCGATCTTTTAATACGTTTTCCAATACACCTGACACAACTCTTGTTAGACTATTTTTACCTTGTGTCCCATGTACGGTATTGCTTTTATGATTAAAGGTATTATTAGACGCAGCGGGGCATGAAATAACTGCAGTATACAATGTTTACGCGTACCACGCTTGACAGTGTCTTTTGTAAAGACTTTGTACGCTACAGTTGTCATTGTGGGGCGGTGTACCAGTCGGTATTTCTAACATATTTCGGTTTCGTCTATAACGTAGAACGGGTGTAATAGTGAAGACACCTGTGATAAATTTAGTTATTTCTCGTCGGATTTTGAGTAAGAAGCCAGTAAGATGGGCAGGAGTACGTGCGGGACATGTATGTTAGTGACTGCAACAATTTTAGGACCGATTGTAATGATCTTATTAGCAGTATCGTTCGCGACAGATCATTGGTTGGAATTTGATGTTGATAAGAAGGATTTATCCCAAGCGGTCTTAGCAGCGAGGAACAGTGACTTTTTACTGGCACGATACACACATACACGACACAGGGGGCTGTTTAGAGAGTGTTACCCAGGAAACGATACTATATGTAAGTACTTCAGAGTTATTGGAATATTTTAGAAATAAAGAGCCCCACCTATTTTTTCACAATGAAACGCCCGGTTACTCATTCGTGACCAATAACCTGAATAGGTAACATAGCACTTCTTCTTTTCTTGTATCACATTTTAATGGTTTTAACTTATTTATGACATATACAAATACATTTCAAAATCGTCTTGTTAGTGACTAAGTTTTATTTTTTCAAATAGGCGTGTTGCTTTTTTATCTGTCACGGTTTTCATTAACCGGTTTATTTGATTTTAGTAATAGGTCTTCTATTTTAGGACTTATTTTGACTCGGGGAAATATTTACCTGTTTAACAGATCAATACATAACAGTCAGGAAAATATCAAATGTCAAGTTATTGTTTATCATTGCCTATATGAGACAAATTATGACATATGTTGCATTATCAACAATCAAAAGTAGCCACAGGCCCATGTATTTTATGACCAACTGTTCAATAAACTGTCAGTGAAAAGATATGTAGCTAGATTTATTGTTTTTCGAAAGTTATCGTGATCGCGTACTAATTATCTACGAATATTTTAACTGTTAAATTACTAGTACAAAGGTCCAGAAAAGTTCTTTTTCAAACTACAGTATACAAGTTCTTAATAGAGCATTAATTGGTCCATGGAAATATTTCTAATTTATGAAAAATAGATCATATCATCGTTTTATATAACATTATGTTTTCATCGTTCAAAGTATGCATTTACAAAAAAACAACAATGTAATAATAATGATGATAAAACAATGAAATATTGTAAGTGACCAATAGATATTAACCATTAATGATTTTGTACAAGGAAATCTCGGCGTTGTGTTTCACATAAATAAATGCAATTTACAGGTGTAAAATTGCGCATGTGTCTGTAAAATTGGAACTTTTCGCAATCTGATACAGTTAAAATCTAGCTTTTGTATTAGAATGATTACGAACCATACAACGTTGTATTCTCTGAAATGAAAACTCTTTTTTTTTCTCCCTCAGCACAAAAGTCTTGTTGAAACTGTGTTAGCAATCTGATTATGTGTATTGATTTGCAACTAATCTTATTAACGCGTATGTACTAGAAAGATATAAACCGTTCAAACGCCTTTGAAACTCGTCATTCTTGATATTCATTATTCCGTAAAAAGTTATGACATATAGACACTATAATAATGATACTTTGAGATACGCCCCTATGCTTATCATATGACATGTTTCTTAGGCTGAATTGAACATACGGTTGGAATCAAAGATAGGTTCAAGTATTGGCAAGTTGTTTTTTTTTAATGCCTAGTGCTCCTTTAAACCATGTTTTTTATTGACTTCGTATCTCAGGCAATGTATTGAATTTCCCAAAGTAAGGGCTTGAGAAAGAGAAAAAATGTTTAGCTAGAAACCAGGTCATGCCTTTTTTCAGACACACGAACAAGTGTTCATATAGCGTTCATAAAATATATTTATTAACAGCAATTGAACGTAGTTCAATATAGAATTGAATCTTGCGTTATAATTAATCATACAATCATATGTATTCAATCAAGGAGTCAAGTTTAAGATATATACGTCACACGGTAAAATATACATGTATAATTATATGACCGAATCTATAAAGCAAACAATTACAATGTTTTGATGAACGGACAATAATTTGCGGTCGTTGACTGACATTTCCTGGTGTTAAGTTATTTAATTTGAACAAAGAAACAATAAAACATTTAATCGGTAAGTTTGATGAATTCACCTGTCATGACGGTTTTACTTTTGTCATTTTTGTTAATTGGGAGTTCAAGCAAATGTGAACATTAATATAGATGTTATAATTAAATTTTACACACATGACTATCTTTTCAGCCGGTGCTGGGGGGGGGGGGTGAGGGATATTGCACTTTTTCCATTATCCCCAATGACCAGACCCAATCAAACCTAGTCTGCAATTTCCTTGTACATTGTTATATTGTTGTTTTCGTTTCTTCCAATGGATCACCTATATTTTACGGTTTAAAGATTATCTTATACAATATCCCACTTTTCTGTTTGCTTGAGCTTAAAACAAAATATTATTCTGCTATTTCAATTAGGATTTTATTCGTTTAGCTATGATTTCGCGCATGCGCCGTTAGCTTTAAAGGCAATAAACTACCATATTTATTTCATATATCTACATGCATTTTGGAATTATTTTTTTAAAATTCAAACAGTAAATTGTTGCAGCAGATATATACCTTTCTACACTTTAAAAGGACACTTCCTGTCGAATGACTTTAAAAATGTTACCACTACTATCAAGTTACTCGTATCATATCCGCGCACATCGCGTTCCTTTTCTAGTGGTTTTGGATATAGTTACTGGTCCCCAGCTTTGGTGTATTTTGAAATAAAGTACATGTAATCCTATCTCTTTATCATGTTCAAATGGAAGAATATAGGGGTTTACATGAGTTTCAATTGTAAAGTGGCAAAAACGTCAACTTTTTCAAACAGCAAGACAACACGGCGTGATGCCGTTTTTAGTCATCAATTCAAAACTTAATGTTCATTCTATTTATTATTGGTCAATAAAAACACTGACATCTAAAGTTGTTTTAAGTAAAATACATGTACATATCTATGAAATAAGATGCCAGGTATCATAAAATACAATATCTCTCGTTCTAACGTATGCTACGTCCGGAAATGAAGGCTCCAGCACCTAGAATGAAGAATGTTCATATATGGCCTTTGTTAAATGTTTCCGTAAAGAAATTTAGGATGTTACCGCAAAGAAATTAAGAAAGACAACAACAAAAAAAAAACCCAACAGCAATCATTCAAATAGAACAGTAGCAAGAATTTACTCGCTCTAACCCCTTCCCCATCCCCATCTCTGGAGCTGTACGGGATGATGAAATTGCAAATAAAGTTCGAGATACATTGCTTCATAGCGCGCATGTCATCATATAATCAGTAATCCGTTCCTACAAAGAAAATGTTGTCTTAACGTCTAAATATTTCAAGGAGGCTAAAAACCTTTTGAAAGTTTGAACTTTATACATATCTTAACTTCGTTGAAAAAAAGGTTTGAAAAGGCTTGAATTTCATATTTTACGCTGTAAGCACGGGTATGTCAGAAATGTATTATGCGGTATATCTGAGGTTTAGGTTACACTATTAAAACCTCGACCTGGGAAAAAAATTACCCATAACGCACTACTTTTTGTAAGATATTTACTTGAGTTTAGTCTCCAATTTCAGTTTAAATTTTTTTGAAAGAATTTGCGTTTGCTTTGTTCATTTGAAGAAAAATTGAGAAATTTACTTGACATATATGTATATATAAAGCCGAAATGATCGCGATGTTGCACCAAAGCAAGCATTCTGGACTTCAGATTGATGCCAATTTGCTTGAAAAAATGTAGAGCGTTCAGATCATTGCAATGTGTTCAAATTAAGTGATTTAACACAAACTTAGACACACAAAGTTTTAGTATTACTGTCAAAATTTGCGAAAAGGTGCATTTACACAGTAAGTAACGGCTTATAAAAATGTGATTCAATAGTAGACGCAGTCATGTCTAACAAAGTATCACTGACAATATGAATAAATTACACATAACTTTATGAACCCTTAACCTGCTGAATTTGTATGATGTATTTTCCCATCCTTGAATTCGGAACATTTCTATTCAAAATGTAAGGGATCTAAGAATATCAAAACACAAAAATTGAACTACCAACAGTATAGAACCTGGTCAAACTGTATCGGTTGACCTGGATTTATGCGGGTGGCAAACGGCAAATAACTTTTGGTTCCAACAGGTTAAGTTTTAAGTTTCAAGTTTCCTTTCTGAAAATTTGTTTTTACTGTGCTTCAGCCGGTGCTGAGAGGTATGGATGGTAGCTTGCAATTACCACTACCATCCATGAACATGCTCAATCAAACCGAGCCTACATTTTCAATTTTGCCGTATTGGATTTTCTTTAGCGATTATGCTGTTCTCTATTTTACTCATTTGGAGGCATGCATCTTAAAAAGAGGAATATAACAACCTTGCTGTGCCACGAAAAGCACTTTGTCAAAATATAGGCCTTTGTGAAAGTTTAATCGTTTGTTATTTTATATATACATATACAATGCACATTATCGTTTTGCTTACAGGCATTTATAGCTTTAAAGCAGCCATTTATATGCAGTTTTAACAAATTTGAATAATTCTAACGTTTAGCCGCCGCATTAGAATTACATTGTCATCCGCACACATTGTCATCCAAAATAACTTACACCCTCCTTGCTGAATTTACTTACAATGGAATTGCCCTGCTTTGAATTGGAACTTCCCATTATGTACTTAAGGGATTTTAATATTAAGATACACATTTAATTATAAAATTGTTCAATATCAATATCAAAATACAAAAAAAGAGTTACCCCAGTAAATAGCATGTTCTGACTGGACAGATGTGCAGGCTGGCCTGGATCTATGCTGATGCCACAGTCCTTTCACTTCCGGTTCCGAAATGTTACGGGTGTACAGAAAAGATAGCTGTATTCAAATTGTAAACACATTTTTAAAGGGACGTCACTGAATTTTTTATGACACGACGGGTCTGAATATATTTTGCCCGAGATTTGTGTACCATTTGATGTATGTCTGGACAAATAACTTGTGTGCACATTCTAAGATCATTCCTTCATCCCGTTTTTCCTGAATACAACTTTGTATTGTGCAAAATGACTGAAATGAAAAGCGTTGCAACGCTTTTTACTCAAATCTGGCATATAATTGCTTAAAAAATCGATATACAATTTAATTTTTGGTGACTGTCTCTGTAACTTGAGACATCAGGAATTTTAATTTTTTCAAATTTTTATTTTCCCGAGGGATACAAATGTACACAGTCTTAAAGTTATTACTTTTATTCAATTTGAATTCGAAAACAATTTACATATGTTCTATCCTTTGAGAAGGAAGTTCATGCTATGAATCACATATTTGTGAGATGCATATTTTTAACATCTGACAATTATAAATACAATGGGTAGGAACATTATCTTGATGTATCTACACAATCGCATCTTCTCGACCTTTTCCGTCAAACTTCGGATAATATGATTACGAATAATAGCCGGAGAGTTCCGATTGATATCTACATTATCTTTGACACCAAGGTATCATTTGTTGTCTTGTAAAAATAGCCCGCAGTATAAAGTTACATGGCCGAGGTGATTTTAAAATTTACACATTCACCACCCTCTTCTCACCTCTATACAGGTATATGTACAATATACATGTATATCGCTATTTTTGGTGTTACTCATCATTTATGCTTTATAATTTACAGGAATGTAACTTTTGAAAAATGAAATTGGGAGAATTTATCATGTTTATATGACCAGTATAATTTTGTAGTAGGATTGACTGTGGCCAGCGTTTACACTTAATAAGTATTTATTTAAAGTTTAATGATACACCCTTTTTGAAGGGTTACTGGTTTTTCTTTGATCAGATTGTAAAATTTTATCATATGAAATCAGATGTCTTAAAAAACAAACTCGGTAAAACAGCAGTTACTTAACAAATTTTTATAGGCACATAAATCGCTTCAGTGCGTTTTGAAATATATTTTATGTATATGGTGACACAATAAGTATCATAGGAGGTTTTTTGTTACCAAGCGCACATCATGGACAACTTTGTTACAATATTACTCTGGCGTCGTCATGGTCGTATTCCCCGTCGTTATTATCACCATCATCATCATCATCATCATCATCATCATCATCATCATCATCATCATCATCATCATCATCATCATCATCATCATCATCATCAACAACAACAACAACAACAACAGCAGCAGCAACAACAAAATCATCATCATTATCAACATCATCATCATCATTAACAACGACAACAACAATATTATCATCAACAACAACAACAGCAATAACATCATCATCGTATGCCGATTAACCGTTCTGTGAAACATCACTATGACTCTACTCCACTACTGTAATCATCAGTATCATCATCTTTATGATGATCCTCGACGTCATCGTCTTCATTTTCATCAGTGTCATCATCATCGATATCGTAACTGTGGTCTATCTCGTCACTGTCAACAACCTCTATATCCAACATCATCTTTATTATCTTCAGAGCGATTGTCTTCGTCGTTTTCATCGACCTCACCGCCATCATAGTCATCATCATTATCAACATCATCGTCGTCGTCATCGTCGTCTCTTTTAGCTTTATCATTCAACACTGTAATCATTTTTATTAAAATTTACGTTAAAGTGAACCCTTTGATTAAGACATTAGCTGCAAAAAAAGACAGACATGATATATTTGTCACCATTCCATTCATAGCATATTTTATAACCTTCAGATTTAATTTATGTTTAAAGCAATAACATTCAAATATAAAGAAGTACATAGATCGTCTGGATCTATCGTGTTTACATTTCATTCTTCGTGTAAGTAGGATAAAGAGCTGTATTGTATTTATTTTTTTTCAAAAGACATTTACTCCCACACTTTCTCCCACGTGTGATTTGTCTTTTTATAGATGGTACAGTTTTAATTTCTTAATGAATAATTTCTATGTGAAGAAATTCTTACATGTTGCCATTACCAACGCTCGCAAGAAATCGGCTATTTCCGTCAAATTACGTATTGTCGTCTGCTTTTTCGATCGCTTATGTTGCTGAAGATGGTCTGAATATGAAATCTAATTGCAGATTATCGGTCCATATCCATTATAATATTCGGACATATTATATTAATGAAAGGTCGTCTGTTATATTGTAAAGTATGCTAAGCAACCCTTACTGTCATCAACAATCGACGATTTCCGTAAAATTACGTAATGACGTTTGCTCGACCGCTTATGTTGTTCATGACCGTCGATTAAATCTAATTGCAGATTGTTCATTCATTAATATTTATATAAACATGCAAATGAAGGTTCTTTTGTTCCATTGTAATGCACGTTCAGCAACAGTTACTGCCAACAGGTTGACTGCATAATTATTTATATTTGTATAATGTTATAAGTTTTCCTGATACCAGCTAACAATGTTTATTTCATTACAGTTTTAGAGACCAGAAAATCAACAGATGAAGAACCAGTTGATGATTACTGTTTCTATGTACGATATGAGATTCCAGAGGAATCTTCACAAGGGGATTGGTCCGATGATTTTCTTTCAAGAATACGTAAGTTTAAAAATTATCATATATTTTACATTATAACAGGCATAATGGTGGATTCTTGAAGATATTTGTCAGATCTTGACATTTTAAGATAGATTTTTATCCCATGTATACGATTAAAATATTTGTCGATATTTCTCCAGAAATTGGTCGTCATCTAAAGTGTATCTCTTCGGCTATTTTCGTCATATTTCGGTTAAAGGATTATATGGTCCAAGTGGCTCCGAGTTACATTTCTAGCACTGGTGGACGTCTATGCCATGACAGAAAGGTCCTGACATGACTTCCTTAACTGTTCTAAGCTAAATATGACTGCATGTATATGCGCAGTTTAAGCTCAACAAACCCTTCTGAGTGGGGTCTTAATAGCAATAAAAACATAGATTATGCACATTTTATGTCATTTGTTAGTTAAAATATTATACTTGAAGGCGCAATTAAATTTTGGCAATAAGTAAATCTCTATGGATAACTTGATTGTATATTGTATCAACTTTCTAAAAACTTCTGATCATCAATTTCAGCAACGCGTATAACCCTGAATATGCATACATGTATTATATAAAATTTCTTTCTTAACGGTACATTTTTTATTCAATACACTTATTATTGAAATCTGTACCATTAAGTCAACATAACATTTAAATGGTAGAAACACCCGAATGTTCACAAATCCAGTTTTACCCGAGATGTATTTGGTAGATATATGGAGCATTGGTGCGTTACGTACTAGTATTTGTCCATCTAATACATTTTCATAACTTTTCTCAACTTATATTTATCTTAACAATCTTGAGCCGTAAATGTACAATCATTTAAACGAAAAAAAAACGATTGAATGACTAATTACTAGAAGGTTGAATCTGTCTAATTTATGATAATTAAAACGCAAGATTATTTATAGGTTGTCAAGAGTAACAATTGTCACAATGGCTGCGTTGACAGTGAATTTTATTACATGTACATTATTATTAAATCTATGTACATTAAAATTAAGATTATAGTGAATTTAAGGTGCATGTAATAATATTGCATGTATATATCTATATGTCTAGATAGAAGATTCAGCTTTATAATTCTAATAATTAAAAGACAAAGCATCGCCCCTCCCTGTCCCCACGTGTAACAACCCCCTGCCCAACCTAAAATCCTTCAACAACACCAGGTGTATTACAGTTAGCCCGTCCACAGCTTTATTTGTGAAATGACATTGACCTCCTTAGAAAGCTTAAATATTCTGTGTTAAATTTAATGACTTTTAAATAAAGATTGGAGAACTTTAATTAAGCAGTCTGCTTACACTTTTATCTGGCCGGCTGCAGACTTTATTGGTCATGTTCTAGTAACGCTGTCCAAAGTTTCATACTCACGCCTTGGCACTTTAGCCCAGTCGTGTATCATTTAGCAAATATTGGCTCCTTCATAACGCTCGAAGAGATCAACTCTAACGATGTTTGATGTCCGCCTGATATACATGTACATTGTATCTGTATTGATATACATGTACCATTGTACATGTATATACGTTGACAGAAACAATTTGTAAACTAATAAGCTGATTTGATTCATCAATAATCGATTAATAGATTCGCATTACGTTTACTTTGTCGGTAAAATGATCTTCAAATACATTAAGAACATTGATTTTTATATCGTTATTGTAAAACAATTCATGTTATAAAAATATTTCCAGCATTCACCGAAGTATAAGTGGCAACATAAGTTTCAAAACAGTTATTTAAAATAACCATTTCCATAAGAGTGTAAACTAACATTTCATAAGAGAGTAAACTAACATTTCATAAGAGTGTAAACTAACATTTCATAAGAGAGTAAACTAACATTTCATAAGAGTGTAAACTAACATTTTATAAGAGTGTAAACTAACATTTCATAAGAGTGTAAACTAACATTTCATAAGAGAGTAAACTAACATTTCATAAGAGAGTAAACTAACATTTCATAAGAGTGTAAACTAACATTTCATAAGAGTGTAAACTAACATTTCATAAGAGTGTAAACTAACATTTCATAAAAGTGTAAACTAACAAAGAGACCGATGTAATGTTTGAAACTGAGCAAGAAACTTTACACTCGTTGGTTCCAGGAACGGATATAAGCTTATAGCTATCACACACAATCGAACTAAAATAAATAAGTGTAACCTAACAATTTTTGAATTTACGTTTTTATTTTTCTTCTTTTTTTCCAGATTTGATGAGATGTTGGTTGGCATTTTTCATCGTAGCTCTGGTAATTTTCCTGGTTGCCTATATATTTGGTCTGGTCTTGTGTTGCTGGAGACAGTCAAAATGGGCTTACATTGCCGGTCTGTGCGCTTACGTTGCAGGTAAAGTACATTTGTTAGTATAAATCCGCCCCTAAATATCTTAAATGGACTTGTCCATCTTTCAATCAGGACTAAACCATTTGTCATATTAGGGAAATCTTTTTAAAATAAGTACTGACTGAATAGCAGACATTACAGGTATCTAATATTACCCTGCCAAATATCTTAAAATGGAATTTTCCCTGTTTAAATCGGGGAGAAACGATTTATCATATTAGGGAAAAATTTGAACATAAGTACTGACGACTGAATTGCATATATTGCAGGAAAGGCACATTTGGTATCTAGCATTACCCCGCTTAATATCTTAAATGGACTTGTCCTTTTTCACTCAAAACATTTTAGGGACATCATTCAATCAGGGCTGTACTATTGATAACATTTTCAAAATAAGTATTCACTGAATAGAAAACAGTGCACATGAAGCACACTGATTTGGTATTTAGAATTACCCTGCTAAATATCTTAAATGGACTTGTCCATCTTTGAGTCAGGACTAAACTTTTTAAACATGTTAGGGAAAGTTTCAAAATAAGTACTGGCTGATCAGCGAACAGAGCAAACCATGATCAGAAGTGCCGGTTGACCTTGGGTATCTTGCAGGCAAAAGGTTAAGGTATTTTTTCTATGTTAACCAAATCTTTCGAATTGGCTTCTTTAGATACAAGTTGTCTGAGGAAAATATACATTTCTGTCAACAATGACACTGAAAATACTGGATTTCACATTAGCGCAATAACAAATACGAATAAGATACGTATTCTCGAATTTTATAACATGACTGTATGTTGAACATAAATGATTTAATTGATATAATGAACCCGGTAGTATCTGTTTCGTAAAACATTTTCTCAAATATCTCCTAACATCACGTGAAACATAATCATTTTTAGGAAAAATAAAAGAAACAAGGAAGATTTTTGAAAACACGATCTGCAATGTAAAACTTAAAAAATTTCGAATGTTGAAAATGACCCCAAAATAGAATATTCGAAATCAACACAACGCTGCGCACTAACCAGTCTTATAATTGTGTTGAAAGAGAAATAATTTAACTGTGCGAAGGGGTATATCAGTGGGGATTTAATTAAACCTAACCAGTAATTTTCTTTGCTGTGCTTTCAAGTTGGCCATTTCAAGTCGTCTCGTTTCACTAACACAGACAATTACCTGTCATTAACTGATCGATCTTGCTATCATTGTAACCAAATACTGCGTGGACATTTAGGACAATGTGGGGACATTAAACGACTTTGTTATGGGGACTTTAAGTACTATTTTTGTGTATCGATATGATGTATTGATATGGCCTATGGGATCAAGTCTTAGGTTTTGCAAGTTTTTTTCCGATAGGTTTGACCACTGGAAGGGAAACTTAGTAGTTCTTGAGTATCTGACAGCATTTCAACAAGTCTTAGTGCTGAATAAGCATTATGTATAAATTTATATACACGATGACTATTTAAAACTGAAAACTCATTTCAATTGCAATACCTAAATATTGTTCAGTCAAAAATACGTACAATTCAATCACTTGGAATATAAGAATGCAAATTTGTCTACCCTTACCGGGAAACCATGTTCGAACCCTTGATTTAGATCATGTTGTCTTTCATTTAAAACAGTTGCAATTGTCATTAGATTTTTAGCTCGACTATTCGTAGAATAATCGAGCTAATGCAGTCACCCATTTGTCGGCGTCGGCGTCCCTGTGGTTAAGTTTTTGTATGTAAGCTGGTATCTCCATAACTACTGAAGGGAATGGTTTGAAAATTCACACACTTGTTCTCTCTGATTATCTAAGATGATTGGCACAAGTCCCATAACGCTGATTTGCTTATTTCCAGATTTATGCCCTTTTTCACTTAGAAATTCTTGGTGAAGTTTTGCATGTAAGATGGTTTCTCCATAACTACTGAAGGGAATGGTTTGAAACTTCACATATATGTTTACTGTGATTATTTAACATGATTTGACAAGGTCCCATAACTCTAATTTGCTTATTTCCATAATTATGCCCCTTTTTCGACTTAGAAATTCTTGGTTAAGTTTTTGTATGTAAGCTGGTATCTCCATAACTACCGAAGGGAATGGATTGAAACTTCAAACACTTGTTCTCTGTGATTATCTAAGATGATTGGCACAAGTCCCATAACTCTGATTTGCTTTTTTACATAATTATGCCCCTTTTTCGACTTAGAAATTCTTGGTTAAGTTTTTGCGTGTAAGCTGATATTTCCATAACTACTGAAGGGAATGGATTGAAACTTCACACACTTGTTCTCTGCGATTATCATAGATGATTGGCACAAGTCCCATAACTCTGATTTGCTTTTTTACATAAAAATGCCCCTTTTTCGACTTAGAAATTCTTGGTTAAGTTTTTGTATGTAAGCTGGTATCTCCAAAACTACTGAAGGGAATGGATTGAAACTTCACACACTTGTTCTCTGTAATTATCTAAGATGATTGGTACAAGTCCCATAACTCTTATTTGCTTTTTTACATAACTATGCCCCTTGTTCGACTTAGAAATTCTTGGTTAAGTTTTTTAGTGTAAGCTGGTATCTCCATAACTACTGAAGGGAATGGATTGAAACTTCACACACTTGTTCTCTGTGATTGTATTGAAACTTGAAGGGTTTGTACCTTTTCGTACAATTTTATGTATTCATATAGGTAAGCATTATTATACTCAATGAAACACCCTTGTGACAAATTTTCGAATAGTCGAGCGTTACTGTCCTCCGACAGTTCTTGTTATCCATCTTGTTGAACATTTTGATTTACCAGTCTCAGGTCGAGAATATTTTTATTCTGGTACAGTTTGATTTACCAGTCACAGGTCGAGAATATTTTTATTCTGGTACAGTTTGATTTGCCAGTCACAGGTGGAGAAGATTTTTTTATTCTGGTACAAGTTTGATTTACCAGTCACAGTGGAGAATATTTTATTCTGGTACAGTTTGATTTACCAGTCACTGGTGGAGAAGATTTTTTTATACTGGTACAGTTTGATTTACCAGTCACAGGTGGGAGAATATTTTTATTCTGGTACAGTTTGATTTACCAGTCACAGGTGGAGAAGATTTTTTATAACTGGTACAGTTTGATTTACCCAGTCACTGGTGGAGAATATTTTTATTCTGGTACAGTTTGATTTACCAGTCACAGGTGGAGAAGATTTTTTATACTGGTACAGTTTGATTTACCAGTCACAGGTGGAGAAGATTTTTTATTCTGGTACAGTTTGATTTACCAGTCACAGGTGGAGAACCTTTTTATTCTGGTACAGTTTGATTTACCAGTCACAGGTGGAGAATATTTTTATTCTGGTACAGTTTGATTTACCAGTCACAGGTGGAGAACTTTTTTATTCTGGTACAGTTTGATTTACCAGTCACAGGTGGAGAACTTTTTTATTCTGGTACAGTTTTATTTTACCAGTCACAGGTGGAGAACCTTTTTATATTGGTACAGTTTGATTTACCAGTCATAGGTAGAGAAGATTTTTATACTGGTACATATTTAGTGTTGTATATTGAAAAAGCATGTTTTTAACAAACGTAAGAATTTTTTTGTCTAAAAAAGAACATTTTATCACCTTTCAGCATTTTCAACTGCCGCTTCCATTGCATTTTTCCACGGTGCTGAATACCTTGAGAGAAATAAAATCTCGCAGGTTGACCCTTACATGGGCAAGTTCTACCTCTCCTGGGATGCTGTAAGTATTTTATACAAGGATTCATAATTGATCAACCAGTTGGCACACAGGTCACATGATAATTTTATCTTCAATTATTAAATAAAATGGGGAATAGATGAGTCATCTTTCTATAAAAATGGTCACATAGGGATCATTCTGAATAAAACTTCAGCTGTTTGGGAGTATATTTTAACAACTATAATGGAGTAAATTTCTACTTAAAGTTTCTCATAAATTCGAGCGATTTTATCGTTTAAAAGTAGTTATTCATAAATGCACGAAAGTAAATAAACAGTTTATTTTTGAATGTATATACTTAAATGTTTACAACTTTAAATCATGTTCGTTTTACCTATTGATTTTCATCTTCCAAACAGTACTGGTAATTTATGTTATCACTTCATACTAAAACAATATACATCTACAAAAATAGGATTGCCAACAATCCTCAATATTTCACTAATCATTCTATTATTCAACGGTACTTCTTTATGCAAAGGTAGTTTGAAATATCCGAAATTTCGATATATGCGAATTGGAGATAAAAGGTAACAGGGAATGTATCGCATGATTATATCGTTACCGTATAAATGCTGTAAAACAACAGGAGTTTGCTACACAGTTTTATGGTTTATTGATAAATCATCTACTATTCCGCGTGTAAATTAAATATTCATAATGCTGGTGTATGTGTGTATTATAGCAATAGAATAGAATTTCGTAAAATACGTGCAGAAATGTATTTTCATTTGTTATCATGTAGATTATGTATACACGTTCATAACTCAGCAAAATTGTAAATCATTCCAAGCTTACACACATGCTTATTTCCTGTCATCCTCGGTCACCTTGGCCATTTTCTGTAAAGCGGTTTTGTGTACCGTGGGTTCCGACTGTGATTTCCTGTATGCATTCTGAATAAATAATCGACTTCATATTTGTAATATTGCTTAAGCAAAACTAAAAGTTGAAAAGGGGCATCATTTGATACTTAAAATATCTTATTTTTTTATCTTTAATAAATCACTACAATTATTTCCGGTAGGTAAATTACGGTACATTTATGTGTTTATTTTTCATATATATCGATCTAAGTAGAGTATATAAAAACTCAATTTGTAGTTAAACGCAGATGACTTTGTATAAACCAGGCCTCCTTAAATGTCATGTTTTCGACTAAATTGTTTTTTTAAACTTATTTAAAAAGGTAATGAGCAGATTTTAAGTATATTTCTTATGCAAGCAGAGCAAAACGCAATTTATTTATAGTTATGATCAGAGGTAATGAGCAGTGTTGTCTCTTAAAGGTCAATAGTCAGGTAATGAGCAGTATGAAGTTATTGAAAGTAATGAGCAGTTTTCTTTTTTCAAAGTTGAAAACATTGTTTTTACAGTGGGTATTTTAAATCAATTAAGTAATTAGCAGTTCTTACTAGCAGTTTTTTCTTCTGATATAAAAAAGATATATTTAGGCAATGAGCATTTTAAATAAATGAAGTAATGAGCGTTTTAAATTTCAATGATATGCATTAGCAAAAACCAAGATATAAGATTTTATATTTTGTAACCATATTTTACGAATGATTGAATCTGTCGATATCAGTTGATATAAAAGTTGTTTTTACATGGAAGTGATCATAAGTGTTTTTAATGACAATGTGAACAGTAATTTCATTGAAGTTAAGAATATTTCTATTATTACATGTAAATGTTTCGTAATAAATGAGTATGTTTTGTTTATTAGAACACGAAGACGGCCACTGACCGTGACTACGGGTACTCTTACATCCTTGGCTGGATCGGCATGGCGTTCGCCGCCATAGTTGCTACCCTGTACTCCATCGCCGGATGTTACATCGGCCAGGAACGTTATGCCGACAAGAGCGAGAAGGTACAACCCTGACACATGTCATAAGCTTTTTTTTACATCCATGACCAATCTATACACACGTATATATTTTATTATGTTTTAGGCAACCCAGAGGGCCACCGATAGGACTTACGGTTATTCGTATATAATCGGTTGGATAGCAATGGTGTTGGCCGCATTCACGGCAACATCTTATTCCGTCGCCGGGTGTTATATCGGCGGTGAACGATATAGAGAGAAGGTATCCTAGTGTCGTATCCCGTCTTTGTTTACGCATTATGCACCGCACCTAATACCCTTAACATGCATGTTTCTTTTTAACTATGGGGCGCCTTGTTGTCAGGGGACTGACAGTTATTTTACTAGCCAGCTTCTCATCGGGGCTCGGGAAAGTGGTTGGGGACGGGACTGGGGGAGGTTAGATATTATTTAAACATAACGAAATGCAGCTAAAAAAATTTTGTTGTGTCGTATGGTATGGAATTCAGTTCCAATTTGTGATGGTTTTGCTTGATTGAAATGAAAGATTAAAATTCCGGGCCATACTTAACAGAAAAGTATCTTTTCTCGGGTACATTTGTTCAATCCTAATGAGAAGCTGGTTAGAATAGATTAGCTTTTAGGTATATCTTGAATAATTTAAGTTTTGCACAATGTGTTGAAAGTTTTCCCCGGCCAACGTTTGTAATTCTGTCTATGCATGGTTTAAGAGATCTAATTCGGACGGTGAACAGTAAAATTTATATATATGTTTTATGTATAAAATCTATAACCAGAACGTTCAGGTCTAGGTATTTAATTTGGTATTATGATTACTTTTAGGTGTTATCATCAACAACAACATCATCATCATCTTCATGATCATCAGTGTCATTATGATCACCTAATGGTCTTTTTCTTCATCATCATCATCATTATTATTATCATCATTCTTACTATGTAAACAGATATAAGCTGTTGCATACTACGTATTTCAGGGACTTCCGGTATAGCATGGTGACTTCCGGTATCGCGCGCATGCTTTACATTATGTCACATGTTTTCTATCTTTTGGAGAGGGTATTTCTTTGGAACTTAATAAAGTTGTTTTTGTAAAATATTCAGTCAATCTGCATTTGTAATTAACACATTTATTTGGACATCTGTCATGGTACTTCCATATTAGCTAGACTGCATTGCTATTTGTTGGCCTTTGCGCTTACAAAGCAAATATGTTGTTTTTTTTTAAAGTTAAGAAGATATTATCATATAGTTTTTAATAGATTGCTGGCACGTTTCTACTCACACTTTTTTACATTTTTTTTTTGCTTCAGAATAAATGTATTTGTTAATAAATGAATTAGAATCTGTATTTTTTAATTGAACATTTCTAATTATTCATAGTTCATTTGAACGTTCGTGTAACAAAAGTGTGAGAAAATCGACAGAAACACATAATTACAGATATGCTTCAAGGATGCATTTCTTGATATTTTCATTAGGATTTTTTTGCTGTTTTTGTTTGTGTATTCAAGGCGGCAAAGATTAAGAAATGTAAATACATTATACAGGTTACAGGCCATACTCCTGACAAAATTTAATGCGTTTTCCAGATTGCTAACATATTCGTTGATAACATCTCCCCATTTTTGAATGGAAATATATAAATTCACATCGTAACCAGACCTGCTTTTCAAACGTATTCAAAATAAACAACACTTTTCAATATATCATTTGTAAGGTGTCATTATGTAGGAAATATTAATTTACTGGATGATATGACAGTATTAATTAAATATGGGAATTAACTTTATTTACGTGAAAATGAGATAAAATCATGAGACTGTTAACTAACCATTAAGATTTATAACAGTTCGTAACAGTTCAAGGGAAACAACTCTTGTTACTTCGCAAAACATGGTTTATACTGCTTTTATTTATTTTGCAGTGTGGTGTGCAATAGATTTGCATTTTTATGAGATAAAAAACCTTTGCGTGTTATTGTGTTGAAATTTTTGCACAAATAGCTGGTTTAGTTTATTTATATTAAGAACAAGGCAGGTGGCCGCAGTATTATTGCCTGCATTATTTCATATTGATATGTAGTGAAAGCTAGTTAGTTAGCCGATTAACAAATTAGTCAGCCCGAACCCCACGTATACCCCACCTTAGAAATTACGTCAAGTAGGTTACGAGTAAAATGTACGTAATTATATCGTTAACAAATAAGAACGTTAACAATTTTAGTTCAGTTTAGTTTTATAGATAGTAAGATTTTTTATTATTGTTTTTTTTTTCTAATAACAAATCACCGAAAAAATCATATCACAATAACTGATACAGTTTAAACCTGACCTTCCTGGAATGAAGAGTGACCAGCCTTAACCACCAGTATAGAGTCAGCTGCAGGCTAGCCTTGTCCGACTAGGTCTACTTGAATTGTTCATCTTGATATCCCTAAAATTGATAATGGACAAGTCCAAAAAATGGAAGTTGGACAAGTCCATTTAGATTTTAAATCACTCAAACTCTAGAATAAAAACTTACATCTCAATCGCATATTACACTATAGTCATTACCTATGGTTAAGTTAAATTTGTAAGTGATCCAGAAGATTTAGAATACCGGGCGAATATAACAATACATTGATTAACCGTTAACTTTATATATTAATTAACTAAAAGTTATGTTTTTGTAATGCCACCACTTTTTATTCACTGATACATCACAGTCATTTAATTCTATACTATATGCACTGTCGTTTCACAGTCATTAATTTTTTAAGCAAAATGCAGAATTATTTTTACAAATCAGTAGAAGTTGCTATAAATTGCAATTGAAAAGTAATTTTTCGGTCAATTGTTAGTAGCCTCTTACAAATTATTCACAATATTCTTATAAAATAAATATGTCTGAAAAGCAAAAAATGTGTGATTTAAAAAAAAATAAATAAAATAGGCATCCTTTTATTTGTTAAGTCTATATCATGCTTAATTGGTGTGTATTTTGTGATGGTTCATGGACATTTAAATAACCCATAGACACCAGTGATGTGACTGCTTTCATTTGATTTGACCAGAAATGATGAAATCTTATTTATTTCATTTATTTATACGATTAAATATGAAATACATTGTATAAAACATTAATTTTATAAGCTGCATTTTATTTTCTCGACTGTCACAGAATAAAGTGCTTATCAGGCAGTATTTGTTATATACTGGGAAAATTTATTTTCCTTCGTCATAGCCGATTTTTTGTTATAACCGTGTTCGATATAAAGGAGCTTCAGAGTATGTAAAAATTTGGTCAAAATAAATCTTGCGAGCAGAAACAAAATATTATGATTAATATTATTGCATTAGACATAATGTTCTAAGAGATATATTGATATTTTATTTTATCTTAAGTTAAAAGTCTTATAAATGTACATGCCTTACTTCTTTCAGGAATATCTCGACAAAGGTCGTTCCCGTGATTATCTAGAGCGCAGCTACCCGATGACACTTGAGCCCGCACCAAAGGATTATTACTACGGATACCACCAAAACTACGGGTACCAGGGACCAAACCTGTACGATATGGAAACCCGTCAACCACTTCCGGCCATTACCTATGGTCCACCGGAAATGGCCCAAGGAGGGTGGAGATGGCAATAATGCTCGAACTCTTTTTAGATTGTTTGAATGATTTGCAGTAACTGTATTTGCCAATTGATGCTCGCGAATGAACGGTGCCAAATAATGCGTTGCTGGCTTTTAAATGATATTAAGAATTTCATTGTTGATAGATTTTTCATTTTTTTTTTTTCTTTAAAAATTTAGAAGGATGGCTTGGATGGTTGATTTTTATCGCTTGACTGTCCCCATACTTACAAAAATCATCGTCGTTTAATTTAGTATCCTAGCACCGCCATGAGAATAGCAATATCATGAAAATCACTTTTCATTTTGATACAAATTAAAACGTAGACGGCACAAAATACTTTTTTTAGCGTTTCTTAACATCAAAATGTGACAGAGTGAATTGAGGTGTGTTTGCATTAATCAAATACGTGTTGTAAGCATGTATTGAATGTGGAAAAAATGGAAATTGTTCTTGATTTCCAAAAAAGTATATAATAAACATTTTACTTAAATTCATTTATTCATGTACATTATTTTTTCACATTTCAGCATAATTTTGTATAATATTATTCTAGTATTCTTTTATATGTAACTCATTTCATGCAATAATATTTTGGGATATGAGGCATTCATGATTAAATATGGCAAAAACTTCAGTATAACCTGTGTCTTTTTAACTGATTTTTGTTTCAACATTTTATGATAAGATAAAACCACATATTTATGCAGTGGAAATGTTGATGATTTCAAGTTCTGTGACACATTGGGATTTTGTACAATTACTTAAATACATACTTACAGCTTATTTTCATTATATCAGATTTTCACCTTTTTTTTATAAAATTTTCTAGAGCTAACTTGCATACGTTCAAATTGTCATCTTTTTTAAAATTTTAATATACTTTTTCTTTCAATTATGTATTCATTAATTATGTATATATATCTTGAACTTTTAGTATAAAATCAGATTAAATAAATATATATATATTAATAGATGAAAGTTATTTTTTTATTTATCTATTATGTTCAGTCATCAAAGGAGATGCATATATATCTGACCGTCCGTCCGTCTGTTGATGTGTCAGCAAACACTGAAACTTTACACTCAACCAATCTATACCGAAAGTTTCATGCCAAGTGGAGGTGTTCGTATAGTAGATTTATTTTACACAATTATGCCCCTTTAATTCCTATTAGGCTGTAATTTATGTCCGGTCTATTGGTCAGCAATCTTTAACTGCATGGAAGGTGGAAAGCGATCTCGAGCATAAACAAGTTTTGGTTAATAAATAATTTCTTTCACAATTATGTCCCTTTGATTATGTTTTTCAGCTTTTAATTATATTCAGCTATAAAATTGGTCGGAACTATTTCTCAGCGACCACTAATAAGAATTCATCGAAACTTCATAGCAAGCTTCTTTACAAAACAGAGGTGTGTACCTGTATATCAGTGAGTTTTTCAAAACGCCTCTCATTTGAATTTCAACTTTTTTTGTCCACACGTTTTCTCAGTACCCACCCACTCTGTTGTATTCTTCAAGAGATGTGCATATTAGTGAACATGTTCTAAGTATCTTTTTTTCTAGATTTATGTCTTTTGATGTCTTTCGTTTGTCCTCCTTTGTCCTTTACACACTTCAAAAACTAGCCGACGTGTTTACAATGTCATCTTATAACAGCTCGCAAAATAAATAGGAAGTTAGGCTTACACACGATCCTAACTACATTGTGTCAAATAGTTTAGGAGCATCCGACGAATTCCCTTTAAACTGATGTCACAGGTATTGGTTAAAATCCTGGATTCTTTCATGTGAGTAAGCTAGCTATTCAGCAACGTCACGGAATGTCGGTGGTTCTACTCGGGTGCTCGTTTGTGTCTGAAATAATGCACGGAGAATCACCTTAGGCCTTTCTGCACATGAAAAGCTAGAAATTCGCAATTATTGACATTTGCCGTGTCGATGTGATTTAAACTCCAACAACAACGGCAGCAGAAGCAAATTTATCCTCCCCGAAAAGTTTCGACAGAGGACACATACCAATTTGTCCCACTACTGATTCTTATAACATCATTATTTAATGACCTATATTATAAAAATGTCTTATCTGGTGCCATCCGCTGATCTTTACTCTTGGGTGGACTTCAAGGTCGATCGTGTTAAGGTTAATTAATGTCACTAGAGCTATAAATAGATTTTCCCATATCAATGACATTTCTTTGTTTTGTCAAATCGGCTTGAGTTAGCATACGTCAGAGCTATCAGTGCCCTTCTAAACCCATAACCTGCAGAAAGCGACCATAATAACCTTTTTCAGATAGGCTTGTACATGACCACAAACAAAGCAATTTGCAATCTAGTCATCTTTTTGACATTCAGGAAATATAATGTAGTTCATCTGGATTTTGAAAACTTTACTAGGTAAAAATAAAACGAAAGTAGACGAATACATTTCCCTAGATTGGAAAGGGTTTTTAAAGATATACTTTGCTCAAGTTTGATATAAAAAATATTGATAATTTAATTACCACAATTTTTTTTTTGTAAATACAAGTTAAGCACGTTTTAACTTCACACGAAGTATAGATATGTTATATTCAAAACTATACACACTATAGATGGTCACAATATGAATGCATTTATGTTCATTCAGTTTGAACGATGATCTGCTAAGCTATAATACCTTGAAAACTGATTTTTTTCCTGGTGCAAGAATTTTCAAACTAGTGATTATAATCACGTGATAAGAACACTTCTCCGGAATTGTATTCTATTTTGTACTGTAATGACACTATAAAACTATGCCACTTTTAGTATAAGTACACGTAGACCTGGCATGTTTTTTGTTTTTGGTTGTTTTTTGTTTGTGTCTGTTTTGTTCTCTAAGCTGATATCTTTAACCTCACACATAACAAATCTTTATAAACTAATGCATTCAATCTTATAACAAAGCGTGATATTGATTGTTTGAATATGACCTTGACCCTAAATGACATTGACCTTACAAAAAGGTCAACATTTTAAAACTCTAGATTTTTGAAAAAGGCAATTGTATTTAACGGAATCTTTTAGATCGACATAAACTTAATGTCATTTGATTATTTGGTTCGTCTAACTTTATTATAATATCAAAAGTAGGAAAAACAAATAAAAAAAAACATATTTTATTTCATTTTATTTACATTATGCATTAAATAAATACAAATAAGATAATTACAAAATCCTATAACAAAATATTTACAAAAATGTGCTATCCATTTTATTTTAATCCAATATTTTGGAAGAAACAAAGAAAAAAACATTTCTGTGTTTCCAAGATTTTCTCAGAAATAATTATTTCTTATTGTTTAGAAAAAAAAAGATTTTTTAAAAGTAAAAAAAGAACAATATCCAGTCATGATTTTATCATTTAAAATCATAACGTATTATCATGATTGCAAAAATTCCATACAACATGTTTCTTAAAACTTTATCAGAACTAAATACAATTCTGTATAAGTATCAATTTGCACAAAAGTCCCTTGAAACACAAACTACATGTATGTCAAAACTTTATAAGGTTCAAAAAATATTTTACAGTGTAGAAAAATTAAATGGCTTACATTATTAACATAAGAAATATCCTTTAATAGTACAAATGACTTTATAGGCAATTCATTTTGTTTTATGCTTCTTATTAATTCTCATTCACATATATACATCATAAAGGTTATTGTTTAACTTAAAATGTCAAACAAAAACTAAAACATTAGTAATCTTTAACCTGAAATGAACTATGGGCCACCTTTAATCTTCACTTTTTTGTGGGAGTCACATAGGAGTGTTACTTGAAGAAATCATCATTTCTCTCTCCGTGTCTAAGCTGTCTATAGAAGTTTGCTGCGTAAAGTTACACTTAGTAGTTCAATATAACAATCAGACGCCGAAAAACAGAATTTTGAAAATAAATATCGTATTTTTATTCCAAATCTTGAAATATCAAGTATTGTTGCTTTTTTGAAAATTACACGTATCCTGTGAAATCGCATGGTCATGTATGGGAACCACGTGACTTTGCATCGTGTGATTTATCTTAAAATAGATCAATGTAAGGTGCAGCCGTTTATGTCATTAAGTGTTACCTTCTGAAACAAGGATAGTTCCCCCACATTTCTAGCCTATCATCCCCTGCTTTAAACATTGAGAACATCAGTTGACAACGAAAACACCAGCAATGTTTTGGTCGATATGAACCGTTTTGCAGTTCTTCCTTAATACTTTCGCTGTTTCTTCTTTGTTTGGCGAATTTGATCTCTTCCGGTTCCGGTGTCACTGAGGGAATTCTGGGCAATTCAAGGTCGTCGTCTTTTTTGCAAGTGTCAGTTTTTGTAACTGTTTTCCCGATATTTTGACGTTCCGAGACAAGTTTTGGTGCGCATATTGTTGAGAATTGCCGACGGAGCACTGATTTCTTAGTTTCCTCAATCTTTCGCACTTCCTGTATTTCGTGTAAAGTGACCTCCGATCGGCGACGAGGAAGAAGGCTTGCTGAAACATTAGCCAAAGTGAATAATTAAGGCATTTTCTTTGGATAAATAAAACTACTGATTTAGCCTCAATATAAGATTAAAACCTGTCTATTCATTTACATTTTCTTTTATTGATAAAAACATTATAAAAACATTATTATTTTGTTGTCTCCACAGTACGTGGTCATTTGATTTGGAGTTATTTTTTTACTTACGCTTTGAAGAAGTAAGAGAACCTCTTCTCGGAAACCCATTCACTACTGGGATGCCTTCCTACAAAAAAAAAGACCACTGGCTGTTATTATACACATAATTTCTATCGCTTTTGTTTCAATCAATTAATCAAATTTGTACTTGGATAGATGGTTTGATCAAGAACTTATACAATTTAAAGATATACTTTGCTCAAATATGATATAATTATTATTATTATTATTATTATTATTATTATTATTATTGGCTACACAGTCTCTTTGTAAATATAAGATAAACATTTTTTGCCTTCACACAATTAAGGTAGATATGTTCTGTTTCTGTTTAAAATTAAAAAAAAATATCTTTTTAAGAAAAGACCACCTTTACTTGACCTGTGATAGGGAACACAGCTTCCCATACATAGTTAATTCACTTTTTATTCAAATAAGACATATTCTGTAAGAATCTCATATGTTTCAAAAGACTAATTAAAGTATTTTACTCAAGGATGAACATAGTATATCTTGTAATATATAGCTCTGTGGTTCGGTCAAGTAAAATTAATGATGAACAAAATAGTGAAATAACTTAATATACATAAGAAACAAGATCAGCATTTCGTTGACATGATGAACAAATATATATAAATAAGGGCAAAAATGATGATGAGATTTTTATCACGCCAACACTAAAGTAAAATCCATCACATATACCGACGACCAAACTTAACTATATCAGGGTCTTTACAAAAACCTGACTATATTGAATGTAAAATCAGTCAAATGTGTTCTTTGGTATACATGTATTCATCTACGAATACTTTCAAAGAACCACCTCAAATGGGAGCAGTAACCTTATAGTTATAGTATCTGTCTCACTACCCAGATATCGCGGGCTCGAGCCCTACTCGTTTCAATAACATATTTACATATGTCATCAGTGCTTATTTCTACAAAGCGGACTCGAAATAAGAACAAGAACTTGCTTTAAAAATCGAAAATGTTTCTAAACTGAAACAATCGAACTTAATTTTTAAACAAAATTTATGTTTGAATTATTCGTGCGGCATTACTAACCACGAGGTCAAGTGCACAAGTCTTTAATGTTGCCTGAAATAAAATTGAATTTAAATTTTAAAAAATGAAAATAAAACGGAACTTACTAGCTTCTCTCCGGCATCACATGACTTCCTACGAGACAGTATATTGTCGTTCATTTTACACGACCTTTCCCTCAGGCTGCCGAGACAGGTATAAACTTCTACGTGCAATTATTGAGCCATATCTTCACGATTTCCATGGCAACATATTTTCAAAATTATCACATCCGTGCTGAAAGAAGGAATCGGAAGGAACCGGTAATATTGTACTAATATTCACCATGTTTTTGAGGATTTATACATGAATGCGGTTATATTGAACTTAATTCACAATCCTCCAGAAACAAACCTATTATCACCGTACCATCCTGTTTTAAAGAGTAAATTTGTCTATCTAGTTGTTGTAATCCAAATAAACAAGCGTTTAACATACCTGTATAACAATTTCACACACTCAGTGATTTCTTTGACTTAAATTTTCTGGGACGAAAGCAGAAGAGGGTTCTTGGACGAAGGTGAAATGAGAAAGAAACTTGCACTCACTAAAATGTTCATACTTTTGACCCATCCGTATCACTTTAAGTACGAATAATAAAGACAGCGTAAACTATATGAAATCATCATACTTACCTTTTGTCAATCAAGAGAGATAAAAGTGGCATTGTAAACCCTTTACCCCCTGACTTTGTGTAATGATTTTGCCCTGTTTTAAATTTGGAACAGTCCATTTGCAAATGTAGGGATTTCAATATCAGCTACCAGCCTCGTCCAACTGTCATGATACATCTCATGAAGACTTTATACTCAGTCTGGTGGTATAAAGGCTAATCAATAAAAGATAAATGAGCCGCGTCATGACAAAACCAACATAATGGGTTTGCGACAAGCATGGATCTAGACCAGCCTGCGCATCCGCGCAGTCTGATCAGGATCCATGCTGTTCGCTTACAAACCCTATAACAAGTAGAGAAACTGATAGCGAATAGCATGGATCCTGATCAGACTGCGCGGATGCGCAGGCTTGTCTGGATCCATGCTGGTCGCAAACCCATTATGTTGGTTTTGTCATGGCGCGGCTCAAATGTTAAACCAGAACAAGATTTGCAAACGTGACTTTAGCTTCCGGAAAGATAACCTTGCCCTCCTGAGATAAACGTGATCTGTACTAGCCTTAAGTTCATAACCTAAGCAACATTTCGTCTGCTATGTATTGGCCTTAAGGTTGTAAGACATTATGAAACATCTCGTCTGCTCCCTCAGGTTGTGATAATTATTCTTACACTTTATCCACGACCACTAGCAAAATTATTCTTTTCATCGCTATCAACATTATCGTAAAAATCAGTATCATCATACATCATTCTTTAATCATCATCATCATCATCACCACCACCATCACCATCACCATTATGATCGTTAAAAATTACACGACCAAGCATCATTAACCAACTCTAACATCATCGGCATCAACAAAAAATGTATCCATCATACTTGTCATCGTTTAAGGATACTCTCCGTCATCATCAACACCGCCACCATCATTATCATCATCATTTAGATAATTATTTTTTCAATAAGCATTTTGCTATCATTTTTTTTAATTCAAATAGTTTTCCCCGCATACATTTCCGATAAATTAGATTTTACTTTTTCACGATACAATTAAGCTTAATAATAGACATGACTGATTTTGAGAATTTGGCTGTCAATGCTAGAGGCATTTTGTAGTACAAGTGGTATCTTGGTGTTTTAACCTATTTATGGTATACTGAATTCGAGAAAGGTGGATACCAAATTGAAAAACTGGATCTTGACCGTTGAAATGGCCTTTTAAAATGACCACTAAAATGGCCGCTAAATTTCTTTATCACGTCCCTACTCCTTTGAACCATCACTATATTTAGGGTTTACGCAGCGAACACTACATTCTTCCCTGCCCTATCTGCTAAATATAGAGCTATCATATTTTATCTGGCACTCTATGTTGTTGTCTATGCAAGCATATAGAGTGGCTACTCAGATTCCTACTTATGTTTGCACGGCGTGAGGGGGGTTAAAACGTGTGCATGCAAAATATACATTAATTAAAGGCACCTTTCTCTGTGTACTCTTTTAGGTTTTGGTGTTCGTTTTTTCTGTTATCGGTTCGTCGTCTTCGTTCTTCTGTTATCGGTTCTATATAGAGTGGCTACTCAGATTCCTACAGATAGCTTGCTATGTGTGAGGGGGTTAAAACGTGTGCATGCAAAATATTAATTAAAGGCCCTTTCTCTGTGTACTCTTGGGTTTTGGTATTCGTTTTTTTTGTTATCGGTTCTCGTTGTATTTCTCTGCTGTCAGTTCTTCTGTTCTTGGTTGTGACTTGTGTTCTTCTGTTATCGGTCCTAGTCGCAGTTCTCATTTTGACAGTTCTTCTGTAATCGGTCCTGGTAACAGTTCTTTTGTTGGCAGATGTTCTGTTATCGGTCCTCGTTTTTCTGTTATCGGTCGTCGTCTTCGTTGTTCTGTTATCGTCTTCGTTCGTGTCCGTTCTTCTGTTATCAGTCTTCGTCTCCGTTGCTTTGTTGTCAGATCTTCTGTTATAGTTCTTCTGTTATCGGTCCTTGTCTCTGTTCGTTTATTGTCAGTTTTTCTTTTATCGGTGCCTGTTGGCTTGTCTTCTCATTTTGACAGTTCTTCTGTAAGAGGTCCAGACTAGGACCGATAACAGAAGAACACAAGTCACGACCAAGAACAGAAGAACTGACAGCAGAGAAACTGTCTTTCTGTTATCGGTCGTCGTCTTCGTTGTTCTGTTATCGTCTCCGTTCGTGTCCGTTTTTCTGTTATCAGTCTTCGTCTCCGTTGCTTTGTTGTCAGATCTACTGTTATAGTTCTTCTGTTATCGGTCCTTGTCTCTGTTCGTTTATTGTCAGTTTTTTTATCGGTGCCTGTCTCTGTTGGCTTGTCTTCTGTTATCAGTCCTCGTCTTTGTTCTCTTGTTTCAGTTCTTGTCTTCGTTCACTCTTCTGTTATCGGTGCCTGTCTCTGTTCGTTTGTTGTCAGTTCTTCTGTTATCGGTACTCGTCTCTGTCCGATTGTTGTTAGTTCGTCTGTTATCGGTCCCTGTCTGTGTTGTTCTGTTATCGGTCTGTTGTTCTGTTATCGGTCCCTGTCTCTGTTCTTCTGTTATCGGTCCCCGTCTCTGTACGCTTGTTGTCAGTTCTTGTCTCCGTTCTCTCTTCTGTTATCGGTCGTCGTCTTCGGCCTTGTACTTTCGGTACTTGTTTCCTGTTCTGTTAAGGTCTTCTCTTGTATCTATGTTGCCGTCCTGCTGTGCCGATGTCCTGGTTTTGTTAGTCTTGTAGTCATTTTATTCGTTCAGTGGAGTAGCGGGGGATCGAACTCACGACCCCTTGATTTGTAGGCAGACAGTGTTACCACTGCACCATAGCGCCCGCTCTGAATAATAACCATTTTTGAAAGTCCTTTATACATTAAATACTATTTCAATGGCTAACAAAGGGCGTATTACAATTATATTTTAACACCTCTACTATGTAGCCAACCCACGTGACTTTTATTTATGGTCAAAGAAAATATTACTCGATTTAAGTAATATTTTTATAGATAACTTTGCTGTTACTTTAAGATATCCTTGAAATTTATTGGAGGGTACCCTGAATGATGTGATAATCTTCTTGTAGAATTTTCTCAAAACCGAGACTGAATTCCAAAATTTTGGAGAGCTGCCATGGTATAGCAAGCACATGTAGCAATCTCCTGGTTTCAGACATTTTATGACTTGATTAAAATATGGTGTTGTTATTGTTGTTGTTGTTGTTTTTAACTTTAACGTTAAATTTCAAATTAATCGTCACTTATTTTTAAACAAGATGGTAAACATTTGTTGTTTTCTGTATTTTTGTTAAGAATGTGATAAAGTATACACTTCAAAGTTTAAGATGACTTTTTAATATTATCGATTATCCATCGTTTACCTTAATGCCGTTATAATTGAATCTAAAAATAAATTATGCAGATATTATTTTCGGCAGAAAACAACAAATATAAACATAACAACACACAAAAAACTAACTTGCAGCATACATGTGTAATGTTCACAACGTGCTGAAAAACAGCTCTTTATTAATTTCAACATTTCAGCAAGTGACACATTTTATAAAAGAATGGGACAGAAATGTTGTTGTAACCATTTAAAAAGTAGGATTTGTAAATTTGTAAGTTGGATATTTTTACCTAGTTTGCTCAACACTCAATTAAGACATTATATATATATACCATAATAAGTGCAAAATATATGAAAACAAAATGAACAACTGAAGAAAAAATCATAGCTACAAATTATATTGAAAATTACGGAACACCTGAAGTGACATTTTCCAGAATTTCTCCCGGAATTGAATTCGTTTTTACGAGATAAAAATTCCCAATTAGAAATATTATTTCGTTTTATCGAAATATAAAATCTTGATTCGTTATAACGAAATATTATTTCGTAATTACGAGATATTAATTCGTTATTACGAAATATTATTTCGTAATTACGAAATATTAATTTGTTATTACGAAATATTTATTCTTTGGTAATATTTATAAAGAAGGATTTGAAACTAAGTTTATTGTTAAATATAAGTCAAGTAAACAAAACATAAAAAGAGTTTTTTTTTCAATCTTAGTCTTATACCTTAACGCGCTAGTAAAACAGTACTGTATTTAACTGTTAATTGAGCCATTAGGCTTATAATCGTTATATTTGGTGGCCAATCTCATTAAAATCTGATCATATTGAATTTGATCATTTGATTTTGACAAAAATAATTCATTGCATCATATTGTGTCATAGTTTTAATGACCTATTTTAGTATTTTTAAGCGGCCATTTTAAATTGACCTTTTGAAGGTCAAGGTCAATTTTATTTTCTTGGTATCCACCCTCATCGTCTTCAGCATACAGTATATTAGGTTAAAACACTCAAGATATTACTTGTGCTACAAAATGCCTCTAGCATTCATATTTTCTTAAAATCAGTCCTGTCTATAATTACATGTACACGTTTTATCTCACTGAATCCAATATAAATAAAAAAAAACATTAAATTTTAGATTTCCCCTTTACGAATGCTGCATAGATACTCATCCGCAAGAATTTTGCAATTTTAGCAGAGCTAACCAAGGGACAGCACTCCTACGGTATTAAGCATGTAATCATTAAATGTAGCATTCTACTAAAAAAAGGTTACGTCCCTTTACACGTGCAAATCTAGTTCAAATTTTAGTACATTTGTTCCATTTGTAAATGAATAACATGAAAGAATGAAAATGCGTAAAATATTGAGGGTGCCAAATATTTACGTAGGAATTTAAAGAACGCTTTGCGAATGGCCAATTATAATTGAATGAACAGAAATAATGGCTATAGGCCAAATGTAGTATTCGTAATTAGGTAATCTTCACAATTTCCGAAATTACAATACGCCTACAAATATTTACATATCTTTCGTGTTCATGAAACGGAAAAATACGTTTGAATATGAAACATTATTGCAATAAAAACACATTAATTCCTTTAGACAAAACAAGCTTTCCTTTGTAGAGTTGAAACTGAGCAGTTAAAGGTTCTGTTAATGCCTCAGAAATTTATATTTTCCCCTACTTTAAAAAGGACAAACATATGTTTTATATTGTTCTAAATAGTAGTTTTAGAGCGTGTTTTGATACTTAGCACGTGAAGGAAGTAGCCCTCGATTTAAAATATAATCTTGTAAGTAGTATAAAATAATACAGCACAATGACTGTACTTACTGAAAAAAATAGCAATAGATGATTCAAATAAAAGCCCATTTGGTTATGAAATTGTTGTTGTTGTTGTTATTGTTTTATCTATAAATCGGGACACCAAAATGAAAGATAAAAGGCTTAAGGGAAATGAAAAATAAATGCATATCTGGGGCTTAATAGGCCTTTAAATAACAGACGGACGGACGGCTTGGTGAAATTGGTTAGAAATTAAATACTGTCCGTTCTTTCAGAAGTGGACAATAACATTGTGATAGATTTGAGATTGATTTATTAAGTTAAATATTGACAGGGCATAAAATAATAACGGGTTTCTCTTTTAATTGAAATAGACAATACGAAGACAACACATCTCTGTTGACTTTCAGTGTATATACATGTATTTATGTATATATTTATGAAATGGACAAAAAAACAACAACAACACAAAAAACACACCAAAAAAGATAAAGAAATGAAAAGGAAATACAAAAAAAAAAGAAAAACAACAACCAAATACAGCTTCAACAACAGTAACCCAGTCATGCAGATCACTTTGTCGGTTTCCGTTTTGCGACTGTTTCAAGGTCTTCTTAAAACAGGAAGCAAAATAACTGAAAATAATACTGAAGCGAAATTCGAAAATACATATGGACAAAATATATTAATGATAACTCTGACACGTTATAATCCACGAAATTTCCATTTGTTCTAGTTAGATTAATTTTATTTGCATTTTTACACGAACACTAATGAACACGTGACTCGTGTTTACGTGTGAAACTGGTTTCAGCAACACGTCATTTACAGCAAAGCAAAATTTTCCGATAAAATTCGGTAACTTGAAGTTTGACTCATACTCGTTCGAAACTTAATCTAAATTTTGAATATGTATTCATTATTACATGCTTCATAAATGTATACGTTTGCACTTACTTTGTTAAGACATTAAAAAGATAGAGCAGGTTATAAATTTGTAACACTTTACATAGCTGCGACAGAAAAAAACTGTTTTGAGGCAATTTTTTACTGAAATCTCGTACATATACATCATCTTGCATAATTGGACTGTTATTAAGTTTTCAAACTTTGTGCAGTTGTTTGTTTACAGTCTATATATACAACATGTAATGACCGTTCTCTAAGAAACACCACAGACACTTGTGGGGTCAGACCATATGCCCCGGCTTGAATCGCCCCTGTAAACGGCCAATAAAACTTGGGGTATCTGTCTTAATCATTAAAATTATTTTGTAAACCGTTCCTTTAAAAAAAACATGTATCGTTTAGTCTCAAAAACTACATGGGATACTTTTTTATTCTTGTGGAAATTGTTAAATAAAAACAATATTAATAATTATGACAGGTGCCCCATTTGTGTAAAACGATAAAGGATTTTTATTGACTGTTTATAGGGGCGGTTAAAGCCGGAGATATGGCCTGACCTCCAAGTCACTGGCGTATCCACATGGTCAAGCCCATGCACATGTGCACAATACAGTGTAAGTCAAACAAAAATAATATAAAGTGGGCATATTACCCAGTGGATGTTTTGTGGAAATACAAGTTATGTGGCTATAAGTTCGAGCCATCCCCCACTCTACACTGACTAATTTTCTGTTGGGTTTCCTGCTTATTGTTGTTTTGTATGTTGGTGTTTTTCTTTTTTCCTCGGGAGAAAGGAGCGTTTGTCTCATATACAATGTACACTAGTCTTGCCAGTGCGTTACATCTTAAATACCAATGAACAAGTTGTTTCTCAAGTAATCATTATAATGTTCTAAAGGACTGAACAAAAAAATAATAAACATTTATAAGTTTAGTCTATATATCATGTTTTTAGATGATGGAGTAAGTGGTCACACTGATTATGAAAAGGCAAAAATATCTAGTAATTTTGTGCGAAGTTCTAAATATGCTAATGTGATGTAGTGTTAGTACTTAATATCTGTATTATAATGCAATTGAAAATGCACTGGATGATACGTATACTCTTTATGCACTTCGTTGTCAACTATAATTTGAGTCGTGTCACGACAAAACCAACATAATGGGTTTGCGACCAGCATGGATCCAGATCAGCCTGCGCATCCGCGCAGTCTGATCAGGATCCATGCTGTTTGCTTACCAACCCTATAACAAGTAGAGAAACTGATAGCGAACAGCATGGATCCTGATCAGATTGCGCGGATGCACAGGCTGGTCTGGATCCATGCTGGTCGCAAACGCACTATGTTGGTTTTGTCGTGACACGGCCCATTTCTAATTGCATTTTAATGCTGTACGCCTCCAGATTCATGCTAATTTTCACGATTTTTTAATGTATAAAGTAAAATATTGTGAAGTGAATAAAGAAAATAATTTTCACATTGCAAACAGCACATACAACTAATGTTATTTACCAAGACAAAAAGGGGGGGGGGGCAAAATATGCAAAAATAGCCAATACTGCGTTAATAACGCAGTGTAAATAAGGTGAAAATACAGTAAAATCAGACATAAAACGCAAATAACATGGACATTTTCTAAAGTCATTTTAAAAAACAGTGGATATTCTAAGACTGTTTTGATCTGGCACCTAAGTCTTGTTTTCTATCCACAGATCAGGGTCACACGTACCACTTCCGTGTTCCGTGTGTTCTCGCCGAGCAAAGTTCAATATTGCAAGAACCTTACAGAAGTCAAAGTATAAGGGGCAAGTTCCGTGGTAATTTTGTTTTAAACAGTTTCTCATATTTTAAGTATGTCATCAACCATAAAGTATTGTCATATCAGAGATGAAGTTCTATATCTCTGCACATATGATGATGTCGCTACTACATAACGAATATATATTACTAAATGTATACAGAAAGCATACTTTTTGCAAAATATGCACATGTACGCTGTAAAATACGAAAAACATGTACTTTGTTTGATCGCTATTGATCGTTCTCTGTTGCTATTATATTGTTGTTGTTTTATTTTGTTTTGTTTTTTGTTTAGCCGAACGCACATGTATATAGACAAATATGTATTCAAATACATAAAAGATGTACTGTCTGTTGTTGATCTTGTCTGCTGGCCGTTTTTTGTTATTCCAGTGTTGTTTTTTTTTCTTTATTTGAAGAATCTATATGTATATACACAGGTAAGTATTTAATGTAATAAAATTTATTAAAAAAAACAGATATTACATGTACATGTTTATTATTGTTTAGTTTTTGCCAGAATATATATAAACAAGAGTATGTAATAAATAAAATTGTACTGAATAATGACCGTTTAAATATATTCCGGTAAGTACACATCCATGTATGTAGTAACTAGCTACGTAAAAGATATATTATCGACCGGTTTTTGTTGTTGTTGTTTTTAGATACGCGGAAATAGATAAATCGGTTGTTGTTTTTTTTTTGTTTCCTAAACGAATAATAAAAACAAAACAAAACAATTTTTTATTCTTCAGTAATCGATATTATAAAAGTTATGACGTCGATTGCCATGCATATAAATATTTACAAATAACTAGCCAAGAGAGATGTTTTCGGATATATATACGCTTAACTGGGCTGAACACAAGTTATAGCCCCATAAAATATCAAATATCAGTGAAGACTTATTTCAACCGAGTGGTTTTATAACAGTTCATTACTTTAACTGTGTTCTAAAAAAGAGCAAAGCATCTATAAATAATTCAGGAATAGCTTTTTACAATACGTTTTAAACATTAAATTCTGCATGGAAGAAAATGGTGTGTTTTTTCTGTTTTTTTTTCTCAGTTTCGCTTCAGCGATATTCATAATTATTGACCTATCACGGTTGTTGACGTTTCCGCACCTAGACAGTCCTCCCAAAGCGTCGTACCCCATACCATTTCCCCCACTTTACCCCCCATACCATTTTCCCCACTTTCTCCCCTCCGTCCGTAATATCACATCGTGCTTGTACCGTTCCCCAAACGGCAGACGGACGCAAATTAAGAGAACGGAAAGATGAAAGACAAAATACAAAACTCTTTTATTCGATTTATTAACCACAATTACAAAAAGATGTCACATAAAACCCTGAAGGACAGTTTGTAACACTCACGTCAACATTAATAGTTTTTCTTCGAAATGAGTTATTTATACCTTAACCTATTTTGTAGATGTATGTTATTGTATATAACGTTTTACCACATACTTAATGTTATCATGTTTTATCTATATAACTAACAAGGTTATACTGGTCCGTTGGTCATACATGTATAACAATAAGTAATAACACACTTTCTTAGGGTGAAGTGGTCCTTTCAAAACAAATAAACATCATTAAAAATGTTACTATACAAAAATTGTTTTTTTCGTTATTTTCAAATGTAAGACAATTAAACCTAAACTTTTAACCCTCTTAATTTCTTAAATCGACTTGTCCAGCTTCCATATTTGGAACTGCCCATTATCAGTTTTGGGGATATTGTCAGCAAACAGTAAACTGCACGCAAGTGCAGGCTGGTCTTACCCTACACTGGTGGCAAAGGCTAGTTACTTCCGGTTTAAACAGGGTAAAAATTTAATTTACTCGCGATTATAATATGCCCATTTAAGCGATCTCTAATAAGTATTCTATTACCCCTCCCCGCCACATCATGTCATGTGTGTTGATATTTACTTGCAGATAAGAAAAACAATTATCTTTTTGTTTTAATTGAAATAAGGAAAAAAAATCAAATAGTGAAGAATTTTACCGCAAGTCTGCAAGAGGCAACAGATCCAGTGCAGACGAAGATCATCCGACACGTGTCGTCTGATTAAGGTCTGCACTGTTCGTTATTCAGTTACAACTCATTTTGAAATTTCCCCCTATTACTGATTAATGGTTTTGTCCAGATTGGAGGACAGACAAGTCCATTTTTTTTTAGATATTTAGTGTAGATAGGGTTTAAACAAATTCATATGCCTATTTTATTAAAAATTTGACCGGATTTATAATTTTTCTGTATTTCTAAACCGTGACTAACGGAGAAATGCATTTTTACACTTTTTATTCTAATATCACATGCAACTTTTACGAAATTCATAAAGCGCCTTAGATGTGCTAAAATCACGTTATTTGTTCAACTAGCAATCGTTTGACCACTTTTCTCATGTGTTTCTAATATTATCAAAAATTTATAAACATAAATTTGAAAACATCTTACAATACAAATGAACATATTTAGGTTTTACACCAAAATCAGCCTTTTCTTATAGGTATACACAAAATTATAAACATACTAGATTTATGTTCTTCCAATTAAAAATCATAAAAAAACATAAAAAAATACAATGCAGTAAAACTTTTATTTGTTTCTGGACTGAATTACTTAAGTAATAAATAACAAGAGGGCCATGATGGCCCTGAGGTCGCTCACCTGTATATAGGCCCCCCAACCCCCACCCCCAACGTTGCAGGGCCAATTTAACCCAAGGGCTTTTATTTGCACAAACTTGGTAGACACCCATAAGAAGATGTTTCATGCTAAACATCTAAGCTCTAGCTCATTGGGCTTTTTAAAAGAAGATTTTTTTAAAGTTTTTACTATACACATATAGTTAAAAACAATGACACCCCTGGGGCCGGGCCAGTTTTGACCCCAGGGCTTTTATTTGAACAAACTTTGTAGACACTTACTAGAAGATGTTTCATGCTTAATATCTAAATTCTAGCTATTTGGGTTTTTTCAAAGAAGATTTTAAGTTTTTGCTATACACATATAAAGAAAATCAATGACCCCCGGGGTGGGGCCAATTTTGACCCCAGGTCTTTTATTTGAACAAACTTTGTAGACACTCACTAAAAGATGTTTCATGCTTAATATCTTAACTCTAGCTATTTGGGTTTTTTCAAAGAAGATTTTTTAAGTTTTTGCTATACACATATAAGGAAAATCAATGACCCCCGGGGCGGTGCCAATTTTGACCCCAGGGCTTTTATTTGAACAAACTTGGTAGACACCTATTAGAACATGTTTGATGCTAAATATCTTAGCCATAGCTCTTTGAGTTCTTTAAAAGAAGATTTTTTAAGTTTTTACTATATGCATGTAGGGAAAATCAATGACCCCCTGGGGCGGGGCCAATTTTGACCCCAGGGCTTTTATTTGAACAAACTTGGTAGACACTCACTAGAAGATGTTTCATGCCAAATATCTAAGCTCTAGCTCTTATGGTTTTTTAAAAGAAGATATTTAAAGTTTTTTCTTTCGGTTGCCATGGCAACCAGAGTTCTGCATGGAATTAAATTCTTTGAACGATTTTTAAAGGTGACCACCAAAGGAACATTCCTGTGAAGTTTGGATGAAATTGGTTTAGTGGTTTATGAGGAGATGTCATTTAAAGTAAAAGTTTACGGACGGATGACGGACGGACGCCGGACGAAAAGCGATCACAAAAGCTCACCCTGTCACTTTGTGACAGGTGAGCTAAAAATACAATGCAGTAAAACTTTTATTTGTTTCTGGACTGAATTACTTAAGTAATAAATAAAAATGAAGATTTGAGAAAAACAAATGTTATGCTTTTTAAAATGTCAAAATAAAGTTTCATAAATACGTTGAAGTTATTGAAATTATCTTATATAAATCTGGACATGCAACACAATGCGAGAAAAGAGGTACATTTTTTATCAGAATATAGATACACTTTTTATTAAAACCAAAGGATTCTGAAAATATCATAACATATAAAATATGTGTTGTTTTTTGTACTTTATGAACAAAGAATAACAAATGGAAACAAAGTTTTGAAGTATAAAAATTAGAAAATATTTTACATGTAATTCCCTATTACACAATAAGCCATCGAACTCAGATATTTCAATTATGCCATTATAAACAATATGCATAAATATGTGTTTGACCCTTATTGAAAATCCAGTCAAAAGTTAGTATCTTAAACGAAGGGCCATGACCTCTTTATAAGATCTGCAGGTAGAAAAATTCAGGACCATTCTCCGTTACATGTGTGATAATATGCAAAATTGGCTCTAGTTCAACTTCTAAAATCACGAGCCGCAGAAATTATTGTATTTTTTTACGTCTGGTATCTAAAGAAGCCTTTCATTTTATCACTTTCATGGATAATCACAGTGAGGTTATCTAATGTTACTTCCGTAACGTACACGTGCTCGCGCGCTTTGTCAGTGTTTACTTCCGGTGTAACGTTTTCGTAAGATTGGTCCATTTCCGGTTGTTGCGTCAGGTTGTATTTTTCAGGATCAGGGTATGCGTGTTCGTTTGTTAGTGTGGGCATGTTTTCGTCTTCCTCCTTTATAGGAGAGAAGGTTTCCTCGAAGTAAGAGTTTTCTAAAGAGGGACACCCGGCTGGCTCCTGCCAGTCATGATCGATTACCAGAGGGGGGACTTCAAGTTCATCAATTGCGGGTATCGTAGATTCACTAGCGTTACTAGACATTTCACAATAACTATCCAGGCGTTTCCGGTTCTCGGGATTATTTTGTGTCACAGTCATTGTTGACTGAAGCGCTTTTTCACTATCAATATGCACAATCCCCTTTAAACTCTCGTTGTCCGAGCTACTCCAGTCGTACCCCCATTCTGTATTCTCAAAATCACCGGTGCGAAACATGTACTTCGCTCGCATTTTTGGGTGGCAGCTTTTCCCGCCATTTTCGTACAATGGGCTCAGTTGTTCTTGTCTCGGACTATGCAGGGTGACCTCATTTTCTTTATTATCGATAATATCCAACTCGATTTTCCGTTTCTTTTGTCCCGTGCGTTTATCCGCCTCGTTTTCAAACAAAGTATCTCGTTCCTCGCTCGTGGCATCTGCTTGCCACACGCCGCCAAATTTTGACAATGAAATCGGAGACACTTTGGTTTTATGTTTGCTTAAAAGATCATGGGGTGGCGTCCTGGGCTCGTGTTCACTGTCAGAATCGTAGAATGGGAGCGGAAGGGACCTAGACTCTGTGATCTGAAAAATCATAGAGAAAAAAATAAATAAATATAACCATTAATAAATAATATTCTTTATTCGAATCGATGAAGGGATTATAAATTCATAACCTATATTTTTTTTACTTCAAGCATTTTAATGACACCAAAGTGTGTAATTTATAACGAACATTTATTACACGGCTGTCATAATTTTCAAATTTGAAGGCCGGTATAAACTGATCACATGTACATGTCAACATGTAATATATATTGACGAGTATAACACATAAAATAGATGGCGACTTATTTTGCGGTCACAGAAATTTAAATATTTAACTTCCTTTTATAACTCGTCCTCTAAATTCAAACCTACATAACTTCCTTAAATGTGAAACCGTTAAAATATTCATTCAAATTTCAAATTCAAAAAATGAAAGCGATATCAAAACGGAATGCATCACGGAAGTTAACTTCGTTTATTGTTTGAAAAAAAAATAGTGTTTAAAAACCAATAAAGTCTCTTGACGGTGTTTTATCTCATTTAATTCGATAACGTAAATATACTTGCACTAAATTTGGCAAATTCTTCCTGTTTGATTTAGATATAAATATGATAATTGACTTGCCCATTTTTTAAACAAACTTGACCCAATTTCATTACTGTTTAACCCTTACCACCTTTAATACGATAATGGAAGTGCCCATTTGTCAAAATGGAGAAAACTATACTTTTTAGGGAAATTTTCAAACGATATTGAATAGTGAACAGTGCAGACCATGCTTAGACGACACTAGGCGCATGGATAGGATCAGTTGCCTATAGCAGACGACAAAATACTTAATTTGAAATTGACCTTTTCGTACTTAGTCCTGAATTAGTATACCGCGTATTATTATTTAATGGAAAAGCTCTAGGAAATACTAAGTTCGTTATTTTATCGTCTGTATCTACGAATTTACTTTCACATTACAATTGCATATTTGTAATAGAAAAGAAAGAATGTGAGTCTGTTTAAACGGGAACTCTCGGAAAGACACTGGCTAACAACATTAGATCTGAACATCATTCATGATTATAATATACCGTTGCAACGCTTTTCATTTTTAGGTCATTCTACATGAACAATAAAAGTAATCGTTCTGGCAAAACAGATTGAGGAAATGATCTGAAAATTTGCTCATAAGTTATTAGTACTGACCTACATCAAATAGTACACATATCTAGGACTAATAATTTCAGCCCCGTCATCTTTAAAAAGTGGAGTCACTTTAAGAAATTCACATATACATTTTAATGACCTTGAAGGGGCACTGTCACGTGTTCGTAAAAATTTAAGAGATCCAATCCCTTTAGCCTTCAGGCAACGGCAAATTTTCAACGTAGTCATGTATTAATTAATGTACATAGATATTTGTACATTTCCTGTGTGTTTTTCATTTATTTCAAATTGAGCGCAGAAAGCTACTGCGTGACGAAATGCATTGCTGGAGAAGTATTAATGCTTTTAAATTATAAATGCGTGGTGAAATGCATGACATAGTTTATTTACGTATGTAGTAATAAAAATGAAATACTTACATACATTTTACATAAGTATGCTACAGTTATGAATTAACACTGAGATAACTTCAGTTAAACAAACTATGACTCAAGTAAATATGAGCATCTTTATTTATTTATTTACTTATTTTATTTGTTCATTCCCTTCTTTAAGATGATCATAACATTATTATGTTCTTTTAATTTATCTTATTACTTTCCTTGAATCATCTAAGATTGATCACGTATATCTTAGCTTCGCATTCGGTCTAAGTTAACCGAAATGACGAGACAGGAGATCAAATTCTCATACTGAATCTTCCCCTCAAAGATTTTACAACCTAACCACGCCTAACATAGTAATACACACATGTACATAACATGTGAACAGATGATATTCAAACATTACGATGCGCATGCGCTGGTCTATTCATTTATTATATATTAAGTTATTAACTTTAATTGCACAAAAAATTGACAATAATAGATATATTTCGGTAGTACTAAATCACCGAATGTTGACAAAATTGAAGCAAAGGTCGGACATGTGGTAATAAATTGAATTAAATGAAAGATTAATAGCCATATTGAACCCATTTACACCATATATAGATCTAATTCGAGACATCACAACGTTTAATAATGGATAAAAAAACAAACAAAACAAAGAATTTGTAACATCTGTCATTCAACGCAAAGTGCAGTGAACTGCAATTTTTATAATAAAAAAACTAAGAAAAATCAATGATAAATGAATATATGCTGTCACTATTTTTGACAACACGTGATCAGCCAATACATAGCAACATAACGAATTGATGAACAGCTGTTTATGGCAGACGAATATTTTACGAAAATATAAGTTTTTGTATCATGTTTTTTTGAGAAAAGAAAAATTCAAGTGCCATTAAAATGTAGATGGCGGATTCGTTCTTCATTTTTCGAGTCCAAAAATTAGATATCACATTTATAGCTCCATTTTCATTTGCAGAGTCCAAAATGTCTATATCAAATCCATATCATACTTGATTAATGAAATATAACACGCCGCTGTCTTTATTTTAATGTATTTTCCCTTCGAAAGTATTTGTGTGAAATAAAGAGGTCATTATACACTGTTGAGCACAATACTTATTGTATTGGACTTGTACACAACTGTAAACCCATTTAAGATTCGGCAAGCGCGTCGTCCAATATAGGTTTCTGTTCTCTCCCAATACAATTCATTATTGTACTCAACAATGTATAATAACCTCATGATATAAAACAAGTATTATATGAAGAATATATTATTCCTTATATCACGTGATATTAAGATAACCCCAGAAAACGCTGAAAAATCGGCAAATATCTCCATCCTTACATGTGAGCTTGCATTCTATTTTAATATGTTTAAATATTTGGGACAATGTTATGAAAACTATGAAAGTATAAATCCTAGTCTCGAGTAGTTACCTCACTTCGCCTCCTTTTCTTCTTCCGGCAGGCCGCCCTCACCCTACGTGGATCATAGCCCCTGAAATACAAGAAAAAGACAAGAAAATTAACAACATATATATATTTCTAGTAAAATATGAGCAGAGATACTGTCCGAACATAGAGCTTCATACATTTTCTGAACAGTAACATTGAATGTAATTTCCCGAGGCGCATTTTCATAATTGTGGGTTGCGCCCACAACAATATTTATTCTATATAATTAGCGTGGTAACTGGCATTCGCGGCACTGAAATGAATTCACGTGTAAGTTTTATTTTCGGGAATCATAACATAATGGGATTATTCAATTTAGGATTAACTAGCTAGCTAAAAGGTGAACGATTATACGCAACGCCCTTTTATCAGGTATATGTACTTTTGTATATGATTTCTATCGCGGTTCAAGAAGTTAGTTACGTGCTTTTTTCGAAAGACATTCACCTCTTCGATTTGTTTCTGCCACAGAAAATGCCTGCCATATAATCCTTCCAATAATGTTATGAAATCTATATTGAGAAATAGAAGAAAGTCAGAACATAGCAGACGAGAATGATTACGTCCGATAAAAGTCGTCTGAGGTTTCATGTGGCATCTAAAGCACCACTGACAAAGTGGAAAATATATAAAAATTGAATATCATTGAGAATTATAAAAAATGATGAATATTAAAAGGAAAAACGCGTCCTCTTGAAATTTCGACCTTGATCGAGATAGAAGGCAAGTGAAAATAACCCCAACTGTTAAATTGGAAAAAAAGAAACGCTCAAAGCACTTCCGGAACAATCGTGCAATTGTCATGTACTCTTAACATCTGGTATGATTCATTCGACAATGATGCTTAATAAAATAACCGCATCATCACGCGCGGCGCAATAATTCCGCGGAAAGTTACTCTTAAATTATGCTACAATTATTGTTTATAGAATAAGGTAAATTGAGGCATCTTTAATAGTCACGAATGATGCTTAGACGTTTAATTGCTCACCTATAATTATTTAAAGCAAAAAACAAATCTGAAGTAAAAACACTGAAGATGACTTGTTAACAACACTTAAGTTAACAGATGAAATATACAGAAATAAAAATCCAGTTAAAGCTGCATGCCTCCAGATGAGCAAAAAACATTTTAAGAAAATCAAACTTAAGAAAAATGTACTAAGATTTTAAGAAAAGTAAAAGACTCAAGTAAAACTTAACATGTTTTGTGCGATTAATGACTGATTTTGCACTATTAATCACAATATTTCTACTAAGTGACTGATACAGTTAGGGCTACTTTTTGCATATTTTGTCTCCTTCTGGTAATTTGCGTGGATTGTAAGCGTTGTTTGCAATGTCGATACATGTATTACTTTCGTTGTTCACTTCAAAATATTTTACTTTTGAATAATTTTTCAAAATTTTCCGGAAAATTAGCATTGATTCGATGGCATGCTGCTTTAACAACAATTAATTTAGATTTTCAGATCTCTTCTCTGTTAAATTAGGATCAATTTCAATAGGGCGAACTGTAGATCATGTTTTATTGGAAAAACAAAACACTAAGTAAACAGTTCTAGAAGAACTGTAACAGCAAGGCTCTGCTTCGCCTTGCATCGATATGATATTGAAGAGCCAATAGATGGCCTTGAAGCCTGGTTTCCATTGATAGAAAAACACGGTTAATATTTGTGGTAAACATGTTGATTCACTATGGAGTTCACAGAGGGGTAATAGGAAGATAAATTGTAACATTATATCTAAGAAACTTGGAGAAAAATCTAAGTCTTCGAAATATAAGAGGCCTGACATTTTCAGTATTTTATTTATATCCGTTGAGAATAGTTGTTGTTGTTGTTCTACCCCTGTGACTAGTGCAGACCAAATTCAGTCGGTACATTCGTGCCGACGTATCGTGGTCTGCATTGTTCGTTATTGAGTCCGTACATTTTTTTTCATTAAAAATATATAATATGAGCCGCGTCACAACAAAACCAACATAATGGGTTTGCGACCAGCCTGGATCCAGACCAGCCTGCGCAGCCGCGCAGTCTGATCAGGATCCATGCTGTTCGCTATCAGTTTCTCTACTTGTAATAGAGTTGGTAAGCGAACAGCATGGATCCTGATCAGACTGCGCGGACGGCAGGCTGGTCTGGATCCATGCTGGTTGCAAACCCACAATGTTGGTTTTGTCATGAAGCGGCTCATATGTTTTTTTCCAAAGTGAAATGTGGACAAGACAATTTATCAACTCAAGGGAGTTTAGTGTTTTATAAATTTCTCGGTGTATGCAAACAGGTTGAAATATTGTTCTAGAAAAAAGAACACGTTCTAAAAAAGCTTTGTTTAAAGTACATTGTATATGCCAACAATTTAAAGTACTATTTTGATGTTAGGTTTGATTTCTTTCTCTAGTGTATCTTGAAGCGTTGTAGAAACAAATCTAAATTAAAGTAACCTAAAATTCACTTGTAAGCGTTAAAATTAAAAAAGTGCATGTGTGTGCGTGCGTATGTGTGAGTGAATACCTATATTAAATCTTTCAAACTTTAAAGAAACTTTAACGTGGAAGCGTTATAATGTTTTCAATCAAGAAAACACATACATCAAGTAACGTTAAAAAAAGTAAGATCTTAAGACAACAAAAAATTTTATTAACAAAAGAAATCTAAGCTAATAACCTAAGATCATATTATTTTTTTTAATTATCAAAGTCTGTTATTTTCTCTATAGCCTGAGATATTAGTATTATTATAATTATTATACATGATACATGTATTAAGCGCAGTATCTTATTTCATAGGACTTATGTAACTAAGGTTGCACAGATGATATTTATAAATATTTTGTCAAGCATTCAAGTAGGCGACGAGTTTACATATATAATACATGATACATTTAATATACCGATAATGTGTATTCACGATGATTCAGCAAAAAAAAATATACATATGAAGGGGAATAAAAGAACCAAGAAGTGAAGAAATAAAATTGAAAATGAATAATAAAACAAAATATTAAAACAACCATCATGACAAAAAAAAACATTTAAATACAAAATGTGTCTACTGATTGTGCTGTCATAGTTTAATGCTTCTAATTATCACTTGTAAAAAAAAACAAAGCAAAATTTTGATATAAATACGAGAGGGTCCTAAACTACAGATGTTATGAATCCAAATATAAATAAAAGCTTCATGCCTCCAGATTAGTAAAACAATTTCAAGAAAATCAACTTTGAAGAAAAAATGTACTTAGATGTAAAGAAAAGTAAAATTATTCATAATTCAAGTGGTGAAAAAACATGTTATATGCAATGAATGACTGATTTTCAAGTATACATGTATATCACCATATTTCTACTGCGTGACTAACGCAATATAGGCTATTGCATAGTTTGGCTTTTACTTTGTAATTTACGTGGATCGAAAGAGCCGTTTACTTTCCTTGTAAACTTGACAATAATGACGCTTTTTAATACAACTTCACAATTTTCATGAAAATAAGTAATCCAGCTTTAAGAATCGTGATAATTTATGATAGTTACGGAAAAAAAAAAGTACCCTTTTCAGAGCTTACAGAAAAGCTATTGCGATACAATTATATTTCCCTATAGTACATTTATAGACGTACGTGTTTATTACAGCAAATGCTAAAATATCTCAATAAATCACTCCCAAGAAGGTCGTTACTGCTTCATAACTATTTGTCTGATCCACGTAAGCATTTACTTAAAGGTCACCTATAATAATTTTTTGAGAAAGTAGTTTTTTAATACATGAGCCGCGTCATGACAAAACCAACATAATGCGTTTGCGACCAGCATGGATCCAGACCAGCCTGTGCATCTGCGCAGTCTGATCAGGATCCATGCTGTTCGCTATCAGTTTCTTTACTTGTAATAGGGTTTGTAAGCGATCAGCATGGATCCTGATCAGACTGCGCGGATGCGCAGGCCGGTCTGGATCCATGCTGGTCGCAAACCCATTATGTTGGTTTTGTCGTGACGCGGCTCATTTTTTTAATATAGCACATTTATGTGAACATGTTAATAATACGTCTGTCTATATACGTTTACGAGTACATTTATATATAGCCTAATTAACATGTACTTTTTATCGTGAATATATAACGTGTTTTTTTTTTATAAATAGCATTAATATAACTAGAACCTAATAAAAATCACCGAAATATCAACAAAAAAAATCAATACCAGAGAAAATAATTATCACAATTAGAAATATACAAAAATAAACAAATTATCGTTTCTTAAATCAATATGATATTTATGTTTTGTACAGACTGTCGGCAAGGCTTTTCACTTAGTCACATACATTACTCACTTTTATTCACTGGCATTATTTAAGCACTGGCCTATATTAGTCAGTGAGGTCTGAATCATGTCTGACTGTCGGCGAATCAGATCGAAACGGTGATCAATTAGATTCACTTTTCAGAAGTATTCAGACAATTAAAGACAAGAACTATGTGTCACTTTCTACATGATACATTGAGATTGTTTTCAATAGGTAGGTTTCTATGTTTAAGAGCAATTGATTAAGCATGTGCAAGGCAATTGAGTATATAAGGCTGAAAGTTGCAACTTCTCGGCCCTTTCCGTAAAATTTCGAATAAGAACAATCGGTTAGGTATTCCTAATGAAGATTTAAATCCCCACTATACGGAAAACCTCGGTTTTTAACATCCGTTAGTAATTGTAGTTGGAGTGACAGGGGATCGAACTCACGACACTTGGATTTAAAGTGTTACCACTAAACCACTGCGCTCGTCGGGAGTATGTATGTCTGTCTGTCTACCGGTATTTTTGTCATAGACCGACGGGCAGTCACAAGCCATGAGCGTCTAATAATTCTGAGCAAGTGCTTACATTTAAGTTATGAAAATGAAAAATGTAGCATAATTATTTTTCCCGCCTCGTGCATGCACTACAAGGTACTCGCATACTAAAGTTTGCATATACTAACACATACACGGGAGTAAAACCCTTTTAATTCTGCCATTGTTTTATAATATAATTTTATGTATTGAACGAAAAGCGAGACGTGTCGCGGTTATATACCAATTTAATATTCAACTATTCATATATGTACATGTTATTCTAAATTAGGTATACATAAGAATTTAAACGCTACAACGGATATTGAGTAATCTACCGATAAAAGCAGAAAGAAGCAGACGAATGCAGCGCGTGCTGAGCAGAAGATAATCAGCTATCGCATTCAAAGACAGTTCTAGAAACGTATATATTAAATATATATAATTGATTATACAGAATAAGCCAGCTTGTGACATATTATTTTTTATGGACGCTGTAACCCTTTGAATATCGGCGGTTTCCAACTTTCTGAATTAAGCGTGTCAAATAAGAAAACTAGGTTTCTTCGACGCTGAGAATTTAATTTAGAACACGGACTTTCAGAAATATTGACACTACCTACTCATTATGGCATTGACTTTCAGGGATTAATTTTAACTTTAATTTTCCTCTAGAATACATGCAAAGGCGGTTAAATGATTTCTGCTGTTGCTCAAAGTTAAGTAATTTGTCACAGAAATAAAAGAAACATATTTTCCAGGCTACTGTCAACAATAGAAAACAGACGTAAAACAGCTCAGGTATAAAAGAACGGCAAATTACTTGACTGTATTATCATTGCGAGCGCAGCAGACCAGTGATAACTCTGTTTGGCTATAATTCCAGAGGTCGTAAGTTTGACCCCCCCACGCTTCCTCAATTAAACTTAGGAATAAGTTTCGGAATGAAACTCACTTTTAATAGTTCTTCATATATATTATAAACTTTTTTATACTCTAAAAAAGTAAGATTACTACAAAGTTGTTTTTTCCGAGGGAGACGCTCACACGTGCTTCCGGTGATATACACAGATGTACATGTACATACATGTATTATCATCGCGCGCACAAAAGGCGGTTGGTTATCTGTCTCAACATCAACTGAGTAGTACTTTCGACCTTGTTATACTTATCAAGCAAACTAAATCAGTGAATAGAAATGCACTTACTCCTCGTCAAACTGTTTTATCAAGGACGCATCAAGTATGTTTTCTCTAGGTTCCCAAGTGCAGTGTCTGAAAAAATATAAACCATCAATAATTAACACGCATATCCTGTTGTATTATATCTAGAATGTAAAACATAAAACGATTTTCTTTTTACATTTAATTAATATGCGTTATACTCGTACATGTAACAAATAAACAAACAGTAATCTGATATAATTAAAGCATTTCAATAAAGTTTTTTTTTTCCTTTAGTAAAAGATTGTACTACTGTATACTATACGTATAACAATAAACAATTAGCATTCAGTTTGATTTTGGCATGTAATTTATAGGCGATAATAAACTCGATTTCTTTCACAGTAAATAAACACCCTGTTGCATTATTTCTAGCATGTAAACATAAACGACAGTCTTTTATAGTAAACACGCATTCTGTTGAATTATTGCATTATTTCTTGCAGAAATGTAAACATCAACGACTTTATTAACACTAGTAGATAACAAGTGTTATTACAGTATAATGTTGCATTGTCTGTAACATTATGATGCATTCATTATCTAGGGCATAACGGCATAATGTTGCATTATATATAGCATGAAGTTGCATTATCTATAGCATAATGTTGCATTATCTATAGCATAATGTTGCATTATCTAAAGCATAATGTTGCATTATCTATAGCATAATGTTGCATTATCTATAGCATAATGTTGCATTATCTAAAGCATAATGTTGCATTATCTATAGCATAATGTTGCATTATCTATAGCATGAAGTTGCATTATCTAAAGCATAATGTTGCATTATCTATAGCATAAAGTTGCATTATCTATAGCATAATTTTGCATTATCTTTTGCAACGTATGCAAGCATAAGCCAATTTTCTTGTTTCATCTCTGTTTACACGTAAACATAAACACTGTGGAAATATAAACGACTTCTTTAAAAAATTACGTGCATAAAGTATCATTATTATCATTAAATGTTAAAGAAAATGATTAAAACAGTATATATACGTGAAACATGCTTTATTGGTTTACGCACGAACGCATTAGCGATAACTCATTAGGTATTTACGTGGATAAAGTTGACTTGTTTAATAGTGTACGTGCAATATTTCATACCTTGGAACATACCATAATAAACATGTAAGACAAACGCAAAAGAAAATTAAGCAAAAGTAGTTAATTTCAACTTATGTGGCAACTGCGACAAGAGTTTATTTAAATGCCAAAGGGGAGAAATAATAATACAAAAACATAATACATGTAACACCAAAACAATAACCGGATTAAAATGAATTTCACAGTTCTTTTAGAATGAAAATGCATGTATACATATTAATTCCCATTTTATATTTTATCCTTATTAAAACCCTATAAAATGTTAAAGGTCTCTGTTATGAATATAAAAATATATTCGCTTAATGAGAATGGCTGAAAATCTTCTTTTTGCAAGTACGTTAACGTTGTTGTTGTTGGGGTTTAAGTCATAGCGACGCTGCACGAAATTGTCACGTGGCCATACGGTACCCCAGGTCCCCATCCGTGCATTATTTTAGACATGAGTAGAACCACCGACGTTCCGTCAGCTACCTGGATAGCTTCCAAACACTGAAATAATTTAAAATCCATGGAACAGGAAAAATGCTAAACGGCCATGCAACGTATGTTAAAACAGCACATGCGAGTTTCGCGACAACTATAGTGGAATTAGCTATAGGACACATTAGAGTGCTCTAGCCGTACTACAATACACCTGTTTACCTTTTAAGGGTTGTTTACAAGTCAGCGGTACGTAAATAGTAATCTTGCTGGTCTAAGGTTTCAACCCGGACCCGTTATCTAATACGATCACGGTGTTTTCAATAACAAGTTACAAACGTGTAACAAAAGGGTATTCATATATAATAAAGATACGGTCCGCATTGACCTAAACTAACATTACCAAATTAACAAAAAATATGAACAGACTCGTCCCTAGGGATCCATATTGTTTACCCGTAAACATATTAAGATTAAAATCGGCCTACTAATCCGAATAATCATTAACTCAAACACGGATATAACGATTTGTGGTGGAATTCTTTCAAAATAATCAATTTTATTACCCGCCTTTTAAAATGTTACGGATCAAACAAAGACAATGCAGCCGCCAACCCTCTCGCTTCACTTTATTTTTATTCCCGCGCGTTTGAGAATTGGGTATTTTCGATAAGTTCACGTGCATAAGAAAGTTCGTAATGTTTCAACGACCCCCCCCCCCCCCCCCCGATGTTTTATATAACAACTTCTTGCTTGAAAACGATGTAGCCTATTTTCAACCATATTTAATATATTACAAAACATGTCCTCAGAAATAATTTCACGATTTGACCTTATATAAATAACAACCACAATAGATCTCAATTAATTATGAAATACAGTATGCACATATATACATAAAAATATATGTACCTTTGTCTGACAGATATAAGACACTTTATCAATATTGCGAGAAAGTTTATCGCTTATTCGAAAAAAAAAACCTAGATTCGTGTGATACCGGTAGTTGTTTACCATTACGTGTTACCGCGAGTAAAAGTTGAAGGCGAGTTGAAAGGTCTACTAAAGTCCGTAATTTCCTCGATCATGCCGAGCGTCCGTGTCATGTACAAAATAGAAACCGTTGTGCGTAGCAATCGACAAATTCATATGTAACAAGATTCGTAAACAACACTGTTTTTCCTTAACAATTCATAACATGCGTAAAAAAGACGAAGAAAAACAAGGGAGGGGAAATATAAATTGTATAAAATCTATTTTAAGATAGTCATGCACAGCTTAAGTGTAAAAGCTGACCAGTGTTAAGAGGTTGTAACCACCTTTAAATAATTAATTTTGGGTTGGGTTTTACGTCGCACCAAAACTGTAAAGGTCATATGGTGACTTTTCAGGTCTTTTACTGGTGGAGGGAGACCTCAGGTGCACTTCTGTGCATTACTTCAGGCTCGAACTTCTACCTGAGTAGAACCACCGACGTTCCGTAAGCTAGCTAGATAGCTTTCTCACATGGCAGAATCCGAAGACGCTTGCGCGTGTCGAACCCGTGAGAGGCAAGTTGTTTGATCAAACGGGCACGGACTCCCCAATAATGAAGTAGTATGTCCTTTTAATTGCGCCGAATCCTTGCTTCTTTTATCTTTTTCTCGTTTATCTTCATTCAAAATAAAGTAGGCATTCGCACGATTGGACACTAAAAGCGCGTGCTAGAAAAACGCGTCTAGAAAAAAACTATCAATTTTATAGTAAACTTGAAAATTAATTATCGACGTTTGTCACTAAATGGTCTCAAATAAAGAAAGAAAAAGCCTTGTTTCCATACGTCTCTTTGTTTTCCAAACAAAGTCGTTGTCCCACACAATTTGGCGCCAAAATATTTACTACCAAAAGAGAAAGAAGCAATGACTGACATATGGACTACAGGAATGTAATATTCCACGGCATTTCTGCGATTGTCCTGATCCTCATATTTAACGAGTTATTAAATTTGCATCCATTCGCGACATCTGGTTTTTTAATTGGATATTTAATGTGGAAATCGATTTGAAGCACGGGCACGCAACATGTTACAGCAGTGTGAGCTCGCGAAAGCGTTTGAAAAGGTCGCGAGTTATCTACCGGCAAATCTGTTACTAAACAATTTATACTCATGTATATTTAAATTAAGGAATTAAAAACAAATTTATATCCTTTTTTTTCATATTTTCATTTCGTTGAGACCAGATGCCAGACAGTGCGAGAGACGATTCGATTTTTTTTTATTAAGTTTCGATGTCAAAGCGCTTTTAAATTATCAATATTTTTGTTCCATGACGCAGTTTATTGTTTTGCGAATTCATGAAGGTTGCGCGATTGTGTGAAAGTATCATATCACAGTATGTTCGACAAAAAACGAACTCAGGTAATAAATATTTCTGATAGTTAATTAGCATTTTCACCTTACGCATACATTACGTAATCGTTTTTAATTCAGCTCAAACACGCGTAAGCCGCGCATTAATTAATTCGTATTACTTAATTAATGGTCTTACGTAACATTGTTATCGGGAGCGCAATAAATCGCTTAAACTCGGTAATCAGTGGCGTTTTATGACTGTTAAAAAAATGATTAATATAATGTAAATCATTGCGTAATTTCATTTTAAATTATATTTCACTTAAAAAAATGTGTCATCGGCACAGTGTTGTACCAATTTTGAAATGGCATAATTATTTAAACACTCGTGTTTCACCGACGCACGTTTTCAAGTAAATCGTACGATGTATCTGTAGAGTATAAGTATTGTAAAATGCAGATTTTTGAATAGTTAATTTGTATTGATCACGGACAGATAGCGTGCCCTCCCATCCCACGTACATGTATAAAAATGCAGCACATATTTAAGCTATGATAAGCTTTTTAAATAATATCTTGTCACGTTTTCGTGTAGAAAATCATTGGCGCACAAACGAATTTTGCACTTTTTATAGAAAATACGCGAGTTAATTTCCATGCCCTTTTTTGTCTAAAATATTTTGTGCGAATGCATGATTGTGTACTTAAATTCGTTTAACGTAATGTTATCAGACTGATAAAGAAGTGAAGGTCCATTAATTATCTAAACTACATCCGTGAAACTATAATTTGAAGATGTTGATAATGTACACGTTAACGTAACTTGAAATTCAAAAGATCTGGTAAAAATAATACCAGCATTGTTAAAAATGAGATAAATACATAAGTATAATTACACAACAAAAAAAGACCGCTCGTATAATTATACAGTACTTGTTCAAATATTCGAAATATTGCAATTACTTATTTACTTATATATCACATAATCATGTGTATTCAAGGAAGGAACGAAGACAATTTTGCTTCGTTTTTTTTAGAGAATGAAAAGTCATCAAGTGCTAACAATTATTATGCTTCAAAACGTCATGGTTATTAACACTTGACCTGCAGCAACCGGAAGTATTTATAGCCTTTGTCACCCAGTATAATGCAAAGCCAGTCTGTACCTCCATTCAGCCTGACCAGGTTC